GATCAAAAATTCCATCTGGTACCATTATCCTTCTGAATGAAGGACATTCTTTAATATTTCTTTTTTTTAATGTATTTATTTTATTTGTTTATCTTTGGCTGCTTTGGGTCTTCATTGCTGCACACAGGCTTTCTCTAGTTGCAGTGAGTGGGGGGCTACTGTTCGTTTCAGTGCGCATGCTTCTCATTGTGGTGGCTTCTCTTGTTGTGCAACATGGGCTCTAGGCACGTGGACTTCAGTAGTTGTGGCACGGGGGCTCAGTAATTGTGGCTCATGGGCTCTAGAGCGCAGGCTCAGTAGTTGTGGCACACAGGCTTAGTTGCTCTGCGGCATGTGGGATCTTCCCAGACGAGGGATCGAACCCATGTCCCCTGCATTGGCAGGTGGACTCTTAACCACTGCGCCACCAGGGAAGTCCTCTTTTTTAAAATTAATTTTTATTGGCGTATAGTTGATTTACAATGTTGTGTTCATTTCTGCTGTACTGCAAAGTGAATCAGTTATACATATACATATATCCACTCTTTTTTAGATATTTTTTCCCATATAGGTCATTACAGAGTATTGAGTAGGGTTCCCTGTGCTATACAGTGGGTTCTTATTAGTTATCTATTAACATTTCTTATAATATGAATCTTCTGGTAATGAATTCATTCAGCTTTTGTATGTCTGACAGTCTGTATCACCTGGCTTTTGAAAAATGTTTTTGCTGGGTGTAGAATTCTCGGTTAATGGTTTTGTTTTGTTTGTCCTTTCAGTCTTTAAAGAGATCGTTTCTCTCTCTTCTGGATTGCATTGCCTTTGATGAGAAGTCTGCTGTCATTCTTATCTTTATTCCTCTGTGTTTAATATCTCCCCCCCTCACTGGTTTTATGATTTTCTCTTCATCACTGGTTTTTAGCAATTGTTTTATGGTGTGTCTTGGTGAGATTTTCCTGTTTTCTTGTGCTTGGGTTTCACTGAGCATCTTGAATCTTTAACTTTATAGTTTCTATAAGGTTTGGGAAAGTCTCAGCCATTGTGCTTTTAAATGTTTTTTTTTCCATATCTGCATCTCTTTCCTATCCTTCTGTGATTCCAGTAACACATATTTTAGGTTGTTTTATGATGTCTTGTAATTCACTGATACTCTGTTCTTTATTTTCCTTCAGTTTTTTTTCCTCTCTGTGTTTCATTTTGACTGTATTCTGATATGCTGTCTTCAGGCTCACTCTTCTTTTCTCTTTTTTTTCAGCTTTATTGAGGTTAAATTGACAAAATTGTAAGATATTTAAAGAGTACAACCTGATGATTTGGTATGATTTGATATACATACACATTGTAAAAGGATTTCCCCCATCAAGTTAATTAACTAGCACATCCATCACCTCACATATTCACCTTTTTTAAAAAGTAATCTTTTTTTTTCAACAGCATCTATCCTGCTGTTAATTCCAGCTGAACATTAAATTTTTTTTATCTCGAGAAGTTCAGTTTGGGTCTTTTTCATTTCTTTCGTTTCTCTCCTCATTGTGTTTATCTTTTATTCTATCTTCCTGAGCATTTGGAGTAAATTTATAATAGCCATTTTAATATCCTTGTCTACTAATTCTGTCACCTGAGTCATTTCTGGGTCTGCTTCTACTGATTTTTCTCTTCACTGTGGGTCATATTTCCCTGCTTCCTTGAGTACCTGGTAATTTTTGTTTTGATGTCATACCTTGTGAAATTTCCATTGTTGGGCGCTGGAATTTTTTATTCCTTTAAATGTTATTATGTTTTGTTTTGGGATGCAGTTTTTTGAAAACAGTTTGATCCTTCTGAAGCTTGTTTTTAAACTTTGTTAGGGGGGTGCACAGCAACCTTTAATCTGGGACTATTTTGGCCCCAAATATTAAGGCAATATTCTTCTGAGAACTCTACTTGACACCCCATGTGTATGAAGGTCTTTCCACCAAGGCTGCCCGTAGCTTGATGTGAGATTTAGGTATTTTTCTGGCTGCTCCTTTCCAGTGGTTCTTTCTGGGCAGTTGCATGTGCTAGTCAGTACTCAGTTAAGATTCAAGGGAAACCTGCTTCATACCTCTGGAGCTTTCTCTCTGCACATCTCTTTTCTTCGTGGTACTCGCCCTGTGAATTTTAACCACCTTGGACTCGCCAAACTCTGAACTCTGTCTCAACTCAGAGAGACCTGAGGCTCTGTCTGGGTTCTGTCTTCCTGTATTGTGGCCTGGAAACTCTATTCAGGCAGCAGAATGGGCAATTGTAGGGCTCACCTTTTCGGTCTCCCTTCTGGCAGGGATCCTTGTCCCGCACTATTATTTTCTCCTACCTGAAAACCGTTGTTTCATAAATCTTGCTTGGTTGTTTTTTTTTTTAGCGGCTTAAGGCCAGAGGGTAAATCTGGTCCCTGTTACTCAAGCATGGCTGGAAGTAGAAGTCATCCACATTCCTCACTTGAAATATAAAAAGTGAAACTATGCAAACTGCAATGGAACTGTATGTGTTTAGAATTTTTAAATGAAAAGGAAGCACTGAGACCCACCTACATGGATGAATCAATTTTTATCTTACTCAGGAAAAAAAAACCCCACCAAAATCAGGGAAGAATTTTAAAATTCTAGAATTTTAAAGATGCAAAATATTTAAAAACCATCCAGTTCATCTCCCTCATTTGGTATATGAGAAAATGAAATCTGAGAGATGTTAAGGAATTGTCAAAAGTCATATTAGTAGTGGGAAGAGCTGGGATTAGCCAAGTATCCCAATAAACAAGCCATTAAACCATGCCACTTCTGTTCTGCCCCCAAATAATAACCATTTATCAAGTACTCTTGAGTACAGTGTGTCAAAAGCATTCTTGAAAGCATTACTTTAAACTTCCTGACACCCCTAGTAGTTTCAAGGTAGGTATTACTGTTTTCATATTTTAGAGATAAACAGCCTGAAGCTGAGGGAGTTTAAATGATTTGTGATTCTCGGGGGTTCTTGAAATACTTCTGGGGTCTGGTAGGTCAAACTATTTTTATACTAGAATTAGGACATTTTTTGCCTTTTTCTTTTTACCATGTTGACCCTTACATGGAAGGTTTAAAAACAGAGGTAGTAAAACCACTTGCACCTTAGCACGAACCAAGGCAATGCCACCAAACTATTCTAGTAACTATTGTATTTCTCACTACTCTGCACTTGCAGTTAAAAAAAAAAAGGCCAGTTTCACTTTCACATGTTCTTAGTGAAATATTATGTTGTTAATTCTATTCATTATTGACCCTTAAGTAGATGCCAATTTATGTGACAGAATGGGGAGTACACTTAAAGCCCTTCTAGTGCCTCAAAGAAAAGCACTTGTATGGTTCAGTTGTGAGTTGAACTTGACAGTATTTTCATGGAACATCATTTTTGTTTGAAACGGCATTTGACAGACAAACTATGGTTAATCATACTTAGTTATATGGTGGACATTTTCTCGAAAATGAACAAAATGAAACTATCGCTTCAAAGAAAACAACTGACAGTATTTGTTGCCAACGATAAGCTGAACTTTTAGGGGAAAATGGATATTTATAAAACTTGTATCTTCCACCACGAGCTTGACAGATTCCCAATACTTCAAAACTTTCCTGGTGAAGTTGGTGGAGATATCAACAAATATGATTTTTAGTATTATATAGTGAAATGTCAACGTTTGGAAGATCTGCTTAATGAATGAATGTTTTCAAAATGACCAGTGCCTGACACCACAATTGGTAAAAGATACATTCAGAATATGAGATAGAAATGTATTTTAATGTAACAGGATATAAAAAAAAATTCACCTGTATGATTTCAGATTCCACACTGCAACTAACCTTTAAGAAACTACCACTTGTCAAGACTGTAGTATCAAAGATACCCAGAAATGACCTAAGAGTCTTTTAAAAGACTCTTCCGTATTCCACCTCTGTATCTGTGAGACTGTATTTTTTTCATATTCATTGTCCAAAAAGATTGCAACAGATTGAATGCAGAGACAGATAAGGGAATCCAGCTGTCTTCTATTAAGCCAGAGAATAAAGAGATTTGCAAAAGTGTAAAATAATGTCACTCTTCTTCACTAAATTTTTTTGAAAACTTTTTTTCATAAAAATATGTTATTTATGAAAGCATGTAGCGGGTTTATTATTGTCATTTTAAAATGAATTAGTAAATAATTATTTACAATTTTTCTTGGTTTTAACTTTGAGTACAGTATATATCAACCGATATAACCCACATCAAAAAAGCTCTTTAAGGTTCTCGATAATTTTTAAGAGTGGGGTCCTGAGATCAAAATGTTTGAGAAGTGCTCATTTTAGATAACAATCCTGAGAAGTGGTAAAGCCAGGTCTCTTATCTGTCTGGCTCTCAACCCACAGAACAACCCATGTTGTTTCCATGGCACAATGTTACCTCCTTACCCGAAAGTCTCATCAGTATTAAAAGGGCAAATAGAATTGGGTCCCTAAAGCTTTATTTTGCAATTTTTTCCCACTATATTTAAGTTTTTCAATGTTTATTTTTGGTGTTTGCTTTTTATTAAACTATAGTTGATATACAATGTTTTGTTAGTTTCTGGTGTACAGTAAAGCAATTCAGTTATATATATATATTTTTTTCATATTCTTTCCATTATAGTTTATTACAAGATATTGAATATAGCTCCCTGTACTATACAGTAGGATCTTGTTGTTTATCCTTTTTACATCTAGTACTTTGTACCTGCTAATCTCAAACTCCTAATGTACCCCTCCCCACCCCATTTCCCCTTTGGTAACCATGAGTTTGTTTTCTATGTCTGTGAGTCTGTTTCTGTTCCATAAGTAAGTTCATTTGTATCATATTTTAGATTCCACATATAAGTTTTTCGCTGTTTAGCTATTTTTCTCCAGTAAAGCACAAGTTTCTTGTCCCTAAAGCTTTAGACTTTCGTGAGGGTTTCAAGATGACTCTTTCTGGCAATAGTAGAAAAATGAAATGATGTTGCTTCATACTCAGCTTATGACAGAAGTAACAATATACTGAGTTGTCTATAAAGCCCCCCAAATTGGGAGGTGTTCTTTATTAGGTTTTAACAAACAGTAGTAAATCTGATTATTTGCCTCCAGGTTTGTATTCCATGGTGCTAAGCCCCAAGAATTAAATCCATGTTTTGGGGGGGCCAGATTTGCTGGGGGACATTCTCAGAAGGAAATCTTGCATGCCCCTACGCAGCAGTGCATTCTCAGCAACCTCCCTCAGGCTCCTGTGCAGCTTCTCCATCTCCTTGCATTCACTTTTGACGTCTACAGAAGAGCAGAAAGTAAGCATTAGGAGTTAGTCCTTTTCAGAAACGTCCCCAGAAAGCAAATCCCCCGAGAATCCTGTTCTGACCTCGGTCACCTGTCCCAGAATCTGAGCTTGAGAATGGAGCTTAGAGATCAGACAGTTCAGTCAATATGTTTTATAAATAGCTCAATCAAACCAGGCATTCTTGCTCTTATCTTAAGGCTTATCTCAGCATAGGGGGCACCTTGAAAATAAACACAAACCTACCCATAAAAAAGGTCTGGGAAATCACTGAGTCTTTACAAAGGCCTCATAAGTGCTCAGTGGAAGGAGATACAAAGCACACCCCACACAAAACCTCCCCCAAGTCTTTTCCAGGCATCTCTCTCCTTTTCCGATCTCTCTCCCCACAGCTGTGCCCGTTCTAAGGGAATCTGCTCTTACTTTTGGCATCTCAGGCTCTTAGCCCATGATCTGCAATCAAATGGTATCCTTTTGATGGTTAATTTTATGTGTCCACTTGTCTGAGCTGTGGTGCCCAGATATTTGGTCAAACATTATTCTGGATGTTTCTGTCAGTATATTTTTGGATGAGCTTTACATTTAAATCAGTGGACTCTGAGTAAAGCAGATTGCCCTCCGCAATGTGGGTGGGCCTCATCTGATCAGATGAAGATCTGACTAAAACAAAAGGCTGGTCTCCCCTGAGCAAGAGGGAATTAATTCTCCAGCAGACTGCTTTTGGACTTGAACTGCAAGTCTTTCTTGTATCTCCAGCCTGCTGGCCTCCCTTATCAGATTTTGGATGCACAAAACTGCCGTAGTTGCATGAGCCAATCCCTTAAAATGATCTCTTTCTCTCTCTATGTATGGACATACGTATACATTCTATTGGTTCTGTTTCTTTGGAGAACCCTGACAAACACAGTCCTCTTTGAAGGGACACTTCAGACTGACCTTGGGGTTGGCTCTGGCATTGCTCCTGAAAGCCTCTCCATCGCCCTTGGCTCTATATGCCCCGCATCATGACTCAGACCCACCCACCCTGAGCTGGCCAGTGATGGGGAGCCAAGACCTTGACCAAGAAGGGAGTCAGGGGCTTCCCTGGTGGCGCAGTGGTTGAGAGTCCGCCTGCCGATGCAGGGGACGTGGGTTCATGCCCCAGTCCGGGAAGATCCCACATGCCACGGAGCGGCTGGGCCCGTGAGCCACGGCCACTGAGCCTGTGCGTCCAGAGCCTGTGCTCCGCAACGGGAGAGGCCACAGCAGTGAGAGGCCCGCGTACCACAAAAAAAAAAAAAGAAGGGAGTCAGAACCCTGAGTCTATTTGTCTTTCTCCTGAGTCTAGAAGGTCTCCCATTTCCTCACTGCCTCTTAAATCATATTTATCCTTCCAGACTCCATTCTAGGGCCCAGCTTACTTGAAGCTACCCCAGTGTCCCAGCCCTGAATAACCACTGTCTTCTGCACTGTGGGAATAACAGTCTGGTGCCCAAGTGCATCCCCTCCCTCAGGTTTTTGTATAAATGTCACATTTCCAGTGAGACCTTCCCTGGCCACCCTGGCCCCTCCTCCGGGACGTCTCTCTCTCCTTCCCTGCTTTATTTTTCTCCATAGCATGTATCGCTCTTCGGCTTGCCACACACTTTATTTATTCTGCTTCCTGCCTACCTTCTGCCCTCTGGGCTGTAAGCTCCATGAAGGTGGAGATTTTTGTCTGTATTGGTCACTGCTGTATCCTCAGTACCTAGAACACTGCCCAGCGCCTAGGAGGGGGCTGTGGTTTCTTGGAGACTGAATGCATATGATCTGCTATTGTGATTTACGGTCTTGCACATCTTGTCTTAACAACCAGCTAAGACTCAGAGCAGGCACTGTTTCAGACCTCTTTGGTACCTGGCACAGTACTCCCTACATAGTGTATATTCGCTGGTGATGGGAAGAAAAGGAGACGGTCTTAAATTATGGCAAAGAGTAATTTACATCAAACTCAGGGGAGCATTTTCTGTCTGTGAGACCTGGAGAGTCGGAAGACCTTTGACCACTTCGAGCGGGGGGGGGGGGGGGGTTCTTAAAAGAAGACACGATTGAGTGACTCTAATCTTAAAACAGGTTCAAGACAGATGGTCATGGGAAAGATCGATAAATTGCAGTGCAAGGGTGTCGTAGCTCCTTCCCAGAGACCACTAGGAACAGGTTAGATGGCCGCCTCACCAGCCAGAATTCGGAGAGAACGATGATTTCCAAAGAAATACGTTAAGTGCAGGACAGATCTTTAGAAGCGGAAATTGTGGCTTTTTCTTTGGAAATAGCCCTGACCACTTTCACCCTGATGGGGGGGGGGGGTTCTTAAAAGAAGACACGATTGAGTGACTCTAATCTTAAAACAGGTTCAAGACAGATGGTCATGGGAAAGATCGATAAATTGCAGTGCAAGGGTGTCGTAGCTCCTTCCCAGAGACCACTAGGAACAGGTTAGATGGCCGCCTCACCAGCCAGAATTCGGAGAGAACGATGATTTCCAAAGAAATACGTTAAGTGCAGGACAGATCTTTAGAAGCGGAAATTGTGGCTTTTTCTTTGGAAATAGCCCTGACCACTTTCACCCTGATGGACTCACCAAAGGCAGCAGCTCTTTTTTTTCCCAAGCAGGCAACTGTGCACATAGTTTAAAACCTAAAAGACCCAGTGCAAAGCGAGTCTCTGCCCTCACCAAAGGACTCACCAAAGGCAGCAGCTCTTTTTTTTCCCAAGCAGGCAACTGTGCACATAGTTTAAAACCTAAAAGACCCAGTGCAAAGCAAGTCTCTGCCCTCCCCATTCTCCAGCCTCCAGTTCCCCTCCTTAGAGACAACCAGTGTGACCAGTTGCTGTGTATCCCATGGAGATTTTTCTGCATATACAGACATGAACATATGCTTTTCCTTTTTTTCTCTCACGAATGGCAACATATTACATGCTTTTTTTTTTTTTTACTTTACTATATATCTTGGAGCTTGTTTCTTACAGCTACATATAAAGCTGCTTTTTTTTTTAACCAGTTGCAAGGTCCTCTACTAGTGGTGTAGCTTAACCATCACGACCCCTAAGTCTATGGATGGATCTTTGAGGTCTTGACACCATGAACAATGCTGCCCTGAATAACCTTGTGCACGTGCCACTCTGCCATGTATGAGGATATCAGAGGATAAATGCCTAGAAGAAGGATTGCTGGGCCAAAGGATGTGCACGTTTTTAATTTTGCTAGAAATTGCCCAGTCGCTGTTTGCACCAGTTTACACTTTCCAGTTTACACCAGGGGACCTGGTGGAGCCCATGGTGTGAAGGGGAGATGGTTGCCTGTACCACATGCCCCTGGTGCTGCATCCCCAGCTTCCTGGTGGATGAAAACAAACCTTCTCCACCACAACCAGAAAATGAGGCTTCTCATGGGAAGATATCAATCTAAAAGAATGGGTTTATGGAGACACCAGGACAGAGGTATGGATTTGACTTTGCCGCTTTCCAGCTATGGATCCTCAGCACATTATCTAAGTTTCTGCATCTGCAAAATGGAGCAAGAATGCCTGCCCCTGAGGGGGAATGTAAGAATGTGGTGAGACGTTGTACACAAAACCCGAATATAATGCTTGGTCTCAGCTGGGTGCTCAGCAAAGGAGGGGGCAGTCATGTTCTTATCATCTCCATCCCTTGCCCTAGAAATTCTTCCTAACTTAATTTCTTTAAATCCAGCAAAGAGCAACCACAGTTTGGGGGGTAGGGGTGTGGCATCATCACCCTTTATGCAAAGGTTGTATGTATTTACCTGCAAGCTCCTTGTAGAGCCCATCCCCCTGGGACGAAGCAAGGGTCAGCATGGTGGTGACGCTGCCCTTCACCTTCTCCGTGATTCCATTCTACACGACAAAGGACGGTCATTCTGTTAGGAGGGCACAGCCTAAGGGAAAGGAATCTCATGAAAGGGACCCCACCCAATCCCCCAGCCAGAGAGTGTTAGCGACTGGGGTTGTCTTTTGGCAACTTTTTCAAAGTTTGCATTTTGGCACATTTTTCAAAGTCAGGTCCAAGGGTGGACCGCTTGAGAATACCCTGGGTGACCAGAGTCATCAGGACAACATTTCTGAGGGGTCCCACCTGCCTTTGTATCTCCTTTCCTAGACTCGTGGAAATTGTACCTCTGATGCTGAACGACCAAATCAGGAGTAACGAGGAGTCACAGAGGCGTGGTGGGGGGAGAACAGCCACCGCAGAGACAGAAAAAGAGGCAAAGAGAGGGTCACCGTCCCATTGTCCTATCATGCATTTAGTCACTGCGTAAATGTTTGTTGACCTCCTGCATTTCATAATACACCATTAATATATAACTTTCCAACTACCTGAGAAATGTCTTCTTGCTACTCTCAGTCGTTCTATCAACTAAACCAGTTTTCCTCTTCTAAGCATCTCTTGCCTCCCATTGAAAAACACTGGACTCTCCACTAGCCTGACAGAGCCTAGTTTTGAACCTGCATCTCCTGACTCCAGGTCTTATGGTCTTTTCTTCAATGCACCAGGCTGGGAACCCAAAGCTCTAATCTCGGCTGCATCTGTGAACCTTGTTCTAGTACCTCATGCCCTTGGCCTCAGCTTCCTTGTTTGTCAGATCAGAGAATGGGAACCCTCTGTGGTCTTGCCCAGTTTCACTTTCCTGCATGGCTGTCACTTAAGATGCATTTGTACATGCTCAACGTGCTAATCATTTTTCCGTGGAATTGTTTTCTTGGGCACCTTAAGGGCCGGTTTTTATACATTCAGTGGGGATTGGCAGCTGTAGAGTTTGGCAAATTTTCTGCAGGTATTTGTAGTCGGTGGTAATATGTTAAATGATGGAAACTAAACCACGCCTGGTAAATGAGATACCTCTTGGCCTGGTCCAAGAGATATTACATGCCTTGTATTGTGGAGAAATGTATTTTCCATAACAGTGGTGATGCGGGGAGAGGAGACTGTGCAGAAGCAGGTTTCAGGAAGCAGGCTGGTTCAGAGGTGGACGGAAATAGCAAGGAGCCGGGGTCCTCAGGAGGTTGGGAGAGAGTCAGCTAAGCCTGGACTGAGGCTGATGAATTTGGAAACCCTATTGGCTTGGGGCCTGGGGGGGGGGGGGGGGGGTCAGCCAGCAGTACCTTGGACTAAAACAAAGAATTTATATTACTTGGGGAGGGGTTGGCTAGCTAAGAGACCCAGGGCTGGGATAAGATCATCCAAGCATACTTGACAGAAGCACTTAGGTTTGAGGAAACTGTTAGGAACTGTCTTCTGAGATAGACAGCGTCACACCTAAATCTATGCCAGGGACTGTAACAGACTGACCTATAGTAGTTGACTGGCATTTATCTATTGGTATTTTATGTAGACAAGTCATTTTCCCTCATTTAAAAAAAAAAATCTGTCTTAAGATTATGCTATTGCTGGAGCCAGGTTACCTGGTCCCAAATCCCCGCTCTGTAACTTACTAGCTGTGTGACCTCTTGATATACCTCTCTTTGCCTCCGTTTTCTCATCTGTAAAATGGGAACAATAAGAGTATACTTCACAGAGTTGCTGGGGATTCAATGAACTCATGTTTGTGAAGAGCTTAGTATCCCCTCTAGATATTACAGTTGTCCTAGTGATGACTCAGTAAAGAGGAAAGAGGCAGGAGAGAGCTGGAGGGGCTGCATTTCTGAAGCCACGGTCTCAGAGAGAAGCCCGAGCCAGCATGTGGTGGCAGTGGAGGCTGGCCCCCTCCCCAGAATCATGGCCATCGGTTGGGCCCTCTCTAGAGAAGGCATCCGGCTCTATTTGGGCCCAAACAACTACTACTTCTTCTGTCTTCTGTACCTGCTTCCTGTGCTCCCCCAGGAGCCTCTTTGGGACTGGAATTCAAACCATGGATGTCAAATACCTTCAGCTGGTGAAATTGGTGCTGCATCCTTTCTTGAGCCCGTTCGAACATGCCCTCGTCCACCTGCTGGTCCAGCCCTCTTCTGAGGACATCTTTCATTCTTTCACATGCTTTTTTGCCCGTGATCTGAGCTGCCTCTGGCAAAAATGATAGTCACAGTCACAGCACAGCAAGGACTTGCTTAGAGACCTTTAGCATCAGAAAGACAGACAAGCAAACAGGGACCTCCCTGGTGGTGCAGTGGTTAAGAATCTGCCTGCCAATGCAGGGGACACGGGTTCAAGCCCTGGTCTGGGAAGATCCCACATGCCACAGAGCAACTAAGCCAGTGCGCCACAACTACTAAGCCTGTGCTCTAGAGCCCACGAGCCACAACTACTGAAGCCCACGTGCCACAACTAGCGAAGCCCGGACGCCTAGAGCCCGTGCTCCGCAACAAGAGAAGCCACTGCCATAAGAAGCCCGTACACCACAATGAAGAGTGGCCCCCGCTCACCGCAGCTACAGAAAGCCTGCGCGCAGCAACGAAGACCCAACGCAGCCAAAAATAAATAAATAAATTTATTTTAAAAATACAAAATAAATTTAAAAAGCACATTAAAAAAAAGACAAGCAAACAAACTATACACACATACACACACATATGTATTATACATACCTACCTACATACACTTATATATATTCATACATGTAGCACCATTTTCTACACCGTGGAAATAGAATAACATGATACAAAACACTAACTCAATATTTAGATCATTTTCATGTTGAAAATCTAATGAGTGAATTAAGCAGGAGCTTCCAAAATTCCAAACTCACCCGCCCACCCCAGAAAAAAAAAACAGTGGGACCACCAAACCCAGAAAAAGTTGGAAAGTGAGTTTACAAATACTTAAAGAAAATAAGGATGAGAACTGGATAATGGATTTTATAGTTTAATTAGCTGAGATGCAGCACGGAGAGGAGAAGCAAGGTGTCTAGATAAAGGGTGGACAGAAAGAACTAGAAACACACAGATAGAAATGGGTCATGACTGACCTCTCCCCACACCCTTGCAATTGTTTGGTTTTAATTTGTAGAGCAGGAGTGTTATGGGGACTCAGGACACAGGAGGACAAATACTTTGAAGGGGGAGCAGCAGACTAGGATGCTAAAGGAGCCGACAGACCCAGGAGGAGGAGGTGGAAAAATTACTCTCGGGGGCCCACCTTCGTAACAGGGCTTCAGGTCGTTCTGAACAGAGGTGCTGAGAGACTCATAAATCCTCCTCTTCTTTCTGAGGATGTGTCCCTCCAGGCCTCCCAGGATGGCGCTTATCTGAGAATCCACGTTAACAAAAAGCCATTTGTGACAATCCCTTAATAGAAGCAGGGCAGGGGTTCCCGGTGTACGGCCACCGCCTCCTCTGCCCTGTATTATCGTTGGCTGTTCACACGTCTCCGCCACTGTGAACTCCTCACAAGCAGGAACTTTATCTGAAGCACTTTTATGTCCCCAAGTGCTTCCCGCAGTGCCGGGCACCTCAGAAAACTCGATAACTATTTGCAGAGTTGAACTCGGGTGCATGCAAGCTGCTGGGATGGGGCATTTGGGGGAGGGCGGGGGAGGCACAGGCGATTTCTCTAGTGTTACCCTGTAATTTGGGATGGGCCTGTGCTGGGGACTGAATAGTCACGTTCCCCCAGATTCTTCTGTTGAAATCTTAAACCCCAATGTGATGGCATTAGGAGGTGGGGCCTTTGGAGGTGACTAGGTCTTAAGGAGGGAGCCCTCCCAATTGGGATGATTCCCCTTATAGACAGGACCCCAGAGAGCTCCTCTGCCCCGTCTGCCATGTAAGCACACAGCAAAAAGATGGCCACCCGTGAACCAGGAAGCAGGCCCAACCGGACACCAAATCTGCCTGCGCCTTGATCTTATACTTGCAGTTCCAGCACTGTGAGAAGTAAATTTCTGCTGTTTGTAAGCTGCCTGGCCTATGGTATTTGTTACAGCAGCCCAAACAGACTAAGGCAGCCTGGACTAAGCAAATGAGTCACAGACAAGAGTCTTGAGGCCTCAAAACTAAAAAACGATCTGCAAAAAAAGACACTTCTTTAAACTTCACCACTGTGGATAATACTTCATGATATTGGCAAAAATGATAAAGAACTCAGTGAGAACGTTACAAGTGGGTTCAAATGTTTATACTTCTAAGGATTCTTTGAAGATTCTTCTTGGGAACTGGGGCTACTTGACAATCTCAGCATTTACTCTTCCTTTCTTCTCAGTGGGACAAAACTTGCTACGTCTGTAGCAGACTCAGGACCGCTTCTCTTTGCCCCATCCCACTATGTTCTGTATCCCACAGTGCCTGCTATAAGGTCCACCCAGACCCTGGACACTCCAGGGAAACAGGTGGGAAAAGACAGGCAACCTCCAAAATCCTGCTGGGAAGAAAACCACTACCCAACCTCGCTGCCCCCTTCACTTTATAAGGATCTTACCTCCTGGATCAGGAAACTCTTTTTATAGCTATCATATTTCCAGCCATTTCTTATCCCAATTTCCGTCATCTTCTCCTGCAGAGAGCGCTTAAAAGCATCTATGTGGGGCATCAGAGCTGAGCCATCACTGGGCTTCCCAGACCTACAGGGGAAAGCACGATAAAATGTTAAGAGACAACGGTGGCTATTGTGGGGTGAAAACAAAGAGGAAACTAGCTGGTATTCTTTTACTCATTTTTAAGAGAAGGAGGACGAAATCTAACAGTTACAAAATTCCTATAATGAAGTCCGTGCAATGATGTCCATTTTACAGATGAGAAAGCTGAGGTTCAGAGACGGTAGCTAATGTGTTCAAAGTCACACAGCTAGTAAGTAGCAGGGCCAGACCTTGGGCACTGATCTGTTTAACCTCAAAACTCATAGTCTTTCTGCTGCCCAGGTGTTCCCACTTGAAAGGGTGGGACGAACTACACCTTAAAAGATGGATAAGATTTAGGGACGTGAAAAGAAGGAGGAGGCATTCTCCACAGGGACGACATAGTGAACTAGGTTTCAGGACATCCCAGGAATAAGAAGCATCAGGTGAGTAGAGGAGAGGGCAGAGGCTTGAAGTCCTAGCTCTCTTCTTATGAGCCGGGTGACCCTGGGAAAACTATACGATTCCTCCGAATGGCAGTGTGTTCACTTGTAAGAAGACCAGAGCCGCCTCAGAGGGTTATGGGGAGGATGTGATGACATGATGCATGCAAAGTGCTTAGCACAAGTCCCTGGTACATCTCAGTTGCTCTTTGCTGTCCTCAGGCTGGTTAAAGCCAGGGGTTGACACTGACAGGGGGGTGGGGAGAGATGGGAAAGGCCAGTTGGAAGCAGGTGGAATGTCTTGAAGGCCGTTCCAAGGAATTTGGAGTTTACCCTACAGATGTGTAAAACGGGTGGGTGAGCGTAGGTAGAATCGCAGGATTCCAAACACATTTAAAGGAAGGTTGGGGGCACGGGGGTGGAGGCACTGAGTAAGAATCGAGCAAAGGTAGAATGGCTCAAACAGGAGAGGGTGGTAGGCCAGGTGAAATGCCAGGGGCAAAGGAGGGAGACTGGGGACAGGCTGGGGATTAGGAGAGACTGTTTCTGTGGATGGAGAAAAGGATTGGAGGTCAAGGAAAAAGGGAAGGACGGGGCGCTGTGAAGGTTCAAGCCCCCCACCCCACGCGGTGTGAGCGCTCTGTGTGTCAAAAGCAAGCAGAGTCATCGTGAGCCACTTTTCCTTTTCTCATTCAGGGAAATTTACGAAGGCCGTGTGTTTCCTTAACTCCACACTCTCCAACCAAAATACCCCTGTCCCGGGCTCAGATCCCCGGTGCATGTAGGAGATATTTGAAAAATAATGGGAATCATAAAATTAATCTGAAAGCAGCATCTCCAGCTGCACTCCAGGTCACCACAGGAAATTTTTAAGTAAACCAAACTAAGGCTTTTGTGTTTTGCCAAAGACTAAGTTTTCCTCCTCAAGTTGCAAGCTACTCCGGACCCTTCCAGATCCAAAGTACAAATTCTTAAAGATGAGCGTTCTTCGGATGTTTGTTCACAGAGGATCCAAGTGAAGGATCCTTTACCTAAAAATGCCTCCAAAAACAGGATCAATCTGTTCATAGATGGGCTGCGTGATGGCTTCGTTCAGATCTATTCTCCCAAGAGTCCTGGAGGCATAGATACCGTTTTTCAGGCAAACCGCTTTCAGAGTCTGGTGAAAACCCTGGTTTCCTCTACTCCTCTGGATAATTAAACAATAAGATAGTGGAGTTAGTAGGTGTTACCTAGAATTCACGGGATCAGAGCTGCACTGCCTTTGGCCAAACACCATTACCAAGAATCACAGGGAAGAGCAGAGACATGGTCTTTCAATGTATTATTAAGCTACACAGAGAGGACAGCAGTCACACCTCAAGTTGGCAGGTGCCCCTGCCCTGGGTTCCCAAAGCATCCTCTGCTCTCTGCTTACATACAGCTTTGCGTTTGTCTCTTTACTCATCAGGCTGCTAAACTGGACCATCAGCTGGTTAAGATCAGGCCCGATGTTTCATCCATCGTGATGTCCTCACCATCTGGTCCTGGTATAGGTCATGCTTGATAAATAAGTGCTAAATGAGCAGTTATTAAATGAAAGTGTGCTCTGACTCTACCGCGAGTATGTGTTTTAGGTTTTCCGAGCACAGCCTCGATGTTTTACGCTTTTTATTACATATTTGATAAGACGTAACTTGATGTGTATCTCTTTGTAATATTTTCTCCCAGAGACATAAACTCACACATCGGAAGAAAAAAATAATATGAAGCTAGAGCTATAAGAGACTTGACAAATTTTAGCCACATCGTGATTGATCCTCAGTAAAGAGAATAAAAAATACATTTGCACTGACTGAAATTTCAGTAGAGGTCTTTGTGATCATTAATCAATGATATATGTTTTCAGTGAATGGCCATGTAGCATGGTACAACTGGCATCATACTGTCTCTATCTATCTATCCATATCTATCTTCCCATATCAATCTATCATCTATCTCTGTTTTAATATTCTGCCATTTTTGCTTAATATTATAACATGAGCATTTCCTGAATTCATTGTAAATACTTCCAAAAAATTATTGGAATAACCACGTAATGTCATATGGGTGTATCATATCATTAGCACTCTCGTATGATTAGACATTTCGGCCATTTTACTATGTTACCTAAAGATATGACGTTAGTATATACATGTCTGCCCAAATATCTGATCGCAAGGGCAAGTTGCTTATCAAATAGGAACGCCCTGGGTTGTGCCCATAGTCACAGAGTAAAGAAGCCATTGAAGGGCTGAGGAGGGCGGGGACAGTTCCTGGGATGAAGCTCTGGTGACAGCCTGAAGGTGCCTGGTGCTGCTTCTTCCTCCACAAGCACATTGTCTCAGAGGACTGGTCCCCACCTCATGCCTTCACCTTCTCAGCACCCACCCACTCATTCACTTTTTGTGATCTGGGATCTTCCACCATCGTATAGAAGCAGTTCTCTCCAGGGTCACTTCGTTGCCGATCGTTATGAAACAAATTACCCCAAACTTCATGGCTTAAACAACCACACACATTTCTTATCTCTCATCCCTTAGAAACCCCATATAACTATTGAATTATGAAAAGATAAAACAACAATTTGAAAAGATAAAACAACAAGTGAGAGATTATAGGGTGCTTTCTTACTGTGTATCTAATTGATACTTACATCAGCCCTGTGAAATAGATTGGGCAAGTGTTTACCATCCCCATTTTACAGAAGAAAAATCCCAACAGGCTTAAGTGGGTTTAGGGCCTTGCCCAGGCCTACAGAGAGGATGTTTGGTGGGGCTGGCATTCCAAACAAGACCCTTGGATCCTAAATTCCAATTCTTTCGGCTGCGCATGTACCCTTCCCTGCGTCCTCACAATGCACAAACAATTCACTCAATATGCTTTCCTGTGTGCAATTTTCACTCTCTCCTAATTTCTTCTAGCTCTTTATTTCTTTCAAAAGCAATGGCATAGTGAAAAAAGGTGGAGAATCAGGCAGGCCTCACCGAACATCACGGCTTTTCTTTTTAGAGGGTCACTCACCACCAGGCACACCCCAAGGATCTGTCGGTAGGAACTCCTGGCATTTTGGACCCCTTCTTGCAGAGGCTGCACTATGTGGGCAAAGCACTGGTCGATGGCCTTCTCCAGCAGCTGTATCTTCTCTTCCACAAATCTCCGCAGGCCACTCACGTGCAAGTGTTCGTTCTAGGAACAAGGGCCATCAGGAACATGAGGCCACCCCCTCCCTAAAGGCACCATCTCCTCCAACTCTGCTTTCTTTAAGTCTGTCACCAACACAAGATTTAGCTTGAGCAGATCACCCACGGTGGACTCCTCCCTGTCATCCCCGTAAGGCGCCCTTCAGGGCACAGACCTCCTTAAGCTTTGTGGGATTGGAGAATCAAACAAATATATCCTCCTGCAACTTTTCCTGGGGCTTAACCCATTAGGCTACTTGAAAGAGTAAATATTCTTTAAAAATCCAATTGTCATTAAAAGAGATTTTTCCAATGACATCTGATTCAACAAATATTTAATGAACTTCGTGCACAAAGCAGTTTTGGAGGAGCGGGTTTCTCAAACTTTAACGTGCATATAAACCATCAGAAGAGTTGGTTCAAACCCAAGGGCCTGGGATTCTACATTGCTAGTGAGCCCCAGGTAATACTGATCTTCTGGATCCTGCTTTAAATAAACAGCAAAGCTACAGGAGCACAAAAATAAAGACTTGGTTCCTGCTTCAAAGGAGAATAGCCTAGTCAGGGAAGAAAATATCTATTCAAGTAATACGAGGGAGTGACCGCCAGGGGCAGCCTTGACCTCTGGGTTCCAAACTGGGAACTCTGTAGTGTCTGTACCCTGTATGAGAACCCTGGGGACCACATGGTGCCTGACTGCAGTGGAAAGAAACCACACTCCTTAGCTCATCACTTAAGGTCCTTCGTGGCCAGAACTCAATCAATTTCTCCAGCACCACCAGCTCTCTGTTTGCCCAAAAGGTCCTCCCACGTAGCTGCCTCTGAACTTTCTACCATTCCCCAAACGTGCCATCCTTTTGGTCCTTTGCATGTGCTCCTCCCATGTTCTCATACTCCCAAAGCTCAAAAGTCACTTCCCATGTGATGCTCTCCCTGACTCCCCGGGCAGAGTTGGGGCGCTCTTTCCTGGGCTCCCGTTGCATTTAGGACACCCCTGCTGTGCTATGTCTCTCTCAGGCCATGTGTCTCCTGCCCTGGGCCAGGACCTTGCTGGAGAGACAGACTCTGTTGTTCATGTTTGTTTATTCCAAGGCAGGGCACAGAGAGCACGGTCCATAAACATTTCTGGGGAGAATGAGTGGCGTGGAGAAATGGCTGGATAACGTAGGCTTTTAAAGTGTATTCCAAATGTTATGACAGAAATATCTCTTGAATTGAGGTGTGACCTTACAGAGATGACTTAGCATCTCTGGATCGCAAGGGCATCGTCTGTGAAGTAAGTGAATGGGGCTGAATGATCCTGAAAACAACCTCAAACTCCTATACCCTGAGTCTCAGAATAGAGGAGTTTTAGAAGTTTATGGAAACTATTCCGCTTCAGGCAAGCCCTGGGGAGTTTCAGAGTTTTCACTAGTTAGAATTCTATAAGCCATACTTTCTCCCCCAGAGTTCCCTCTAGATTCTTTGGAGTTTGTTGTCGTGTCACTAGTGATCAAAATGAAAGAAGAAAAAAGTCATGAGAAGAAACTCCACGGGCAAGATTCTCACAAAGGCTCACTCTCAAAGAATCCTTGTTGAAGAAGCAAAAGAATGATAAGAAGGGAAGGGGCTGGAAATAAAAGAGCAGTGAGAAAGGGAAAGGCTGGCATCTACTATGAATAAATGCAGGACTCATTCAACATTGAGATCGTCATAATCAACTTCCCATTGATTCTTAAAAATAAAGACTAGATCCCTGTTCATTTAAAATCACTAACTATCCAAACTCTAAAGTTTTTGGTTTGAGTCACAATCTTAAAAAATGATCTGTCACATATATTTTTAGATTTGATTTTTTTTTTTCCAGAATGCAAAGGAACTGACAAACTCTTGCCTTCCAGCTTTCCGTCAGAGAACTAAGACTGAGACCAATATCTGAGGCCAAAGAATGTTGAGTAAGCCTGCTGGCAACTCCTTCTAAAAGGCTATCACGGAAGTGCCAGCCAGCCCCCTCCTCTGTGTCTTCCATCACCTGCAGTCTGGCTACAAGGAGGGACTGAGCCCCTACACGGGTTGCACCTCCATACCATGCTCCAAATTCGATTGCAAAATGCTTTGTCCTGGTGTTTATAAAATAAACCAACCACACACAGCACCACATCCGATTCGTTTTCCATCAGCACTTCCAAAAATCTTTTGCTGAGCAGAGAGGCAACTTTCACCCCAAAGAATTTTGGGGGGAAGTTAGAATGTCAAAACGTTCACTAGTATTTCAGAGGACAAAAGTCAAATTGGAAAATCTCAGATTCCAGGAGGGTTTCTTTTTTCTTACACAGAACTAGACCCAAACAAGGAATAAGAGATACGATGAAAAAGATGGTGAATCTTACTCTATATGGCACTTTTATATGGCACTTTTAATTTCTAAAATGTGGACATTTGACTGACACTGCGTGGACCATCAAGAGTTGACATTGCTGGGATTTCCCTGGTAGTACAGTGGTTGGGAATCTACCTGCCGATGCAGGGGACACGGGTTCGAGCCCTGGTCCGGGAAGATCCCACATGCCGCGGAGCAACTAAGCCCGTGCGTCACAACTACTGAGCCTGCACTCTAGAGCCCTCGAGCCACAACTACTGAAGCCCACACGCCGCAACTACTGAAGCCCGTGTGCCTAGAGCCCGTGCTCCGCAACAAGAGAAGCCACCGCAATGAGAAGCCCGCGCTCCGCAACAAAGAGTAGCCCCCGCTCGCCGCAACTAGAGAAAACCCACGCGCAGCAACGAAGACCCAACACAGCCAAAAATTAATTAATTAATTAATTAATTAAAAGTAAAAGAGTTGACATTGCTTACTTTTCACACTGAAGTCAGGTCCCCACCAGCTGCCTCTGCTCATCACTCCACAGGGCCCTCCCAGGTTCACTGTCCCACATTCTCAGGACCAGCCCCACCGGTACATTTCTCTCCCCTTTCCCTATTCTGCATAACAAGAAGTCAGACAGCTTGGCTGTGCAAACCTGATAGCTGACAGCAAGTGTGGAAATAAAGAAATACCAACCAAATGAGAACACACAAAGGCTATTAATTTAGAGCTTGCTATAGCAAGAGAGTCTGTGGCCATCACTTGCGTTTGGCAGACACTCAAAGGCAAGCAGAGGGATGGGAAGGCTTCTGGTGCCCTGATCAGAGGCCCCTGGCATGGGGCAGCCGTAGGTGGAGACCTCAAAGTAGGGATCTTATGTGATTCATGAGGATGCATATTTATCTTTTCTTGATTGGTCCTCAGTTGGAAGCAGGGATAAAGATTAGGGAAGCCCATGAGCTAACAAGGCGGTCTGTGATGAGAGTTTCATGGGCAGCCAATTATACTGAGGATGTGTGGGATCAGAATAATGCAGCCTGCTGGGAGACTGTCATTTGCAGAATTAAAGGCAATGCAGTCGTTGCTAAAGGGTTTAGTTTGGATGGGAGATGTAACCTTCCAGCCATACTTCTGTCATCTGAATCTGATGGGTTGTTTTTGTGTGTTTCAGGTTGTTTAAGTTTTCTTTTCCGTTTTGTAAGCAGCCATTGCTCGTATGTTAAAACACCTAAGAGAAATGGCAATCTCTTTGCCATAAAATATGGATGACAGTTAAAAAAAAAAAAAAAGGATAAGGGAAGCCATCAGTCCTTAACAAAGGTCTGGCCATTTGGGGCTGATTGTTTCAGAAGTTATTGTTTAGCTTCTTAGATTGTTACTAGAGATAGCGGTCTAACTTCCTACAAGTTTTAGAGCAGGCTGGCTTCCTGAGCTGTTCATTGTAGATGGGGGGTTGGTTTCCCAGGCAGCTTGCTGCAGGCTGTGGGTCAGAGTTCTGTCTTTATATGTGCTTGTCTGTTTGTATTTTCATTCCCTCACAAGGAAACAATGCAGTTGGTGATTGATTCCAGCAACAAAGTTTTCTCCCAAACTCTCCCAAACCTCGAATTTAGCAGCTTATCCCTCTTATCTTAGGGTAAAAAAAAATTCATCCATCAAAAAGATAAACTTTGTCCACTACTATGAAAAAAGTCATTTTTAACTGGTTATTCAGAAGACCTGCATTCTAGACCATGAAGATAATATCTCTCTGCTGAAAGGCCCTCCTCTTTTCCTTCCTCTCACATTATATAACCACGCTGCTCTGAGTTTGAGATTCTGACAGCACCAGGCCATGCACGAAGTCCACAGGCAGAAGAAAGTTTTTTGGGCTGTATGTGCACACATGCCTCTTTAGGATAACCAAGAACTGACATATTCCAGTAGAAGTAGGCAAATCCCTCCTGCCATTAAACACATTCTACTTGATTCAAGTCTCAGGAGAGGCAAAAGTGACGATTTTTACCTTTTCCTCTCAGCCCATCTGTCATAGGTAAAACATTATTTCTTTTTTCTTTTTTTTTTTTTTTTTACTCAAAGGTTACAATGTTAACCCTCGAATTCTCTTTCTGCTCTCTTTAGATTCTCTAAGCTTAGGGTCTTCCTCTGATGAGAAAAGGAAGATTACGGTGAGTTAATTTTCTAACTTGGTAAGAGGGAGCATTCCGCCCAGGCCAGGAGGCAGAGGACACACAGCCCAGGGGGCTTCCTACCTGCAGGTTGTCCGTGCAGCTGAAACTGTCCGTGAGCAGAAACAGGCCAAAAGCTTCAGTGACATACTTGGTCACCATCCTCCTCTTCTTATCCAAGAGCCTTCTCCTGATATATTCTCTTAACTTGGGGATTTCTGGAATTCACAGGCAGCACAAACAATTTGAAAAGGCCAGAGCTGGTGGGAAATAGAATTCTTAAACATTAACAGATCACGCTGGCTGTCTGAATTAACTTCCGCTGAGGTCCTATGCGGGTGGGTTGCTCACTAAACCAACCTATCTGTTTTCCCCAGTCTAGGATCAGCAGCTATGCATGGTAGATCAGCAGTGATGCATGCTAATTTTATTCAGTGGTAGAGAACAAACTCTGTGGAAAAGTTCAGGCTGGGTAAGAAAACGGGCACTTCCCTCTGGATGGTAGTTACCTGGATAGTATATAGAACCCGGGGCTCACACTTCTAGAGCCTCAGCCATTTGGTCCCGCTAGACTTTTCTATCTATATCAAATAACGATTAACATCAAAATAGCGCATGCTTGCTGTAGAAAGGGTAGGACCTCTGACAAGTGCAATTCCAGATTAGACACGTATCTTAGTCCGAATCCTCTGTTAGTCGGAAGATAATAGATGTCAAGCTACTTTCCCCCCATTATCCCTGTAAGTGGAAATGTTTCTATATTATTCCTTGCCTGTGCCATGCTGATTATTTCTTTGATATCCTTGTTCAAGCAGTTCCCCATTTCTGGCAACTTTTCACATCTTCTGCTCCTTAATCGCCTTTGACGCTCAACCATGTCTAGCGACATATAGGCACATTTTTAACCATTTTCAGCTGAGGTCAAGGTCAAGCTCGGATCCTGCCTCCTCACCCAGCTTTCCTTCAGTAATCCAGTCACACAGGTCCTGGGTTCTCTGAATTTCTGCTGTACTCAGAGCACCATAGAACTAGCCTCATTTTTACTTTGATTTTTGCACGTGGCTTAGTATAGTAAGTCCCCTACTTACGAACCTTCACGCTGCAAACTTTCAAAGATGCAAACGTGCATCTGGTTCCAGCAAGGAACCAGAACCTGCGCCATCAACGTCAGGCGTGAGTGACATTGCAGCCTACCCTCCATCTCCTATTGCTGACCATCCTTCAGCTCTACCATCTCCCACCTCCTCCCTCTCCTCCAGTCAGTAACTCTTCTTGCCTGTTCACTCCATGCCAGCCCCTGGATGCCAGCTGTTGTTCTGTACTACTGTACTTTCCAAGGTACTGCACTGTAAGATTAAAAATGTTTTCTTTATTTTTTGTGTTTGTTTTTTATGTATTATTTGTGTGAAAAGTATTATAAACCTATTACAATATAGTACTATATAGCCAATTGTGTTAGTTGGGTACCTAGGCTAATTTTATGGGACTTACGAACAAACTGGACTTACGAACGCGCTCTCGGAATGGAACTCATTCGTATGTAGGGGACTTACTATATTAGCTCTTCATGTAAATTTCAAGTTCTCTGAAGAAAGCAGCCATGTTCTCTAACCCCACCCCACCCCCAAAGAAAAAGCATGCCATGGATGCTTTTTCTACCTGTCCCTGGGTGAGCAAGGACTCTCAAGGCAAACACTAAGGAAATGACAACTCATCGTAAGATTTGGAGGAGAAAGGAATTGTGGTCTCAGGCACCACAACAATGCAGAGACAAACACGCATATAGCTGCTCATAGGTATAGAAACTGTGGCAAACTAGAAGTGCGGCACAGAAAGTTCTAGAACGGGAAATTCAGAGTGCCAAGCTTAATTCTGAGAATTGGAGTGATTGAGATGAAAAATATATATATGTATAAATTACCGGTTTCCTCCTCGGTGAGGAGAGCCTGCTGCCAGTACTCCTGGGCGCTGACCGTGTACACCAGCTCTGAGTCTTCCAGAACCCTGGAGTCAGTTGGCAGCTTCCTCTGAAGTGAGAGAGGCACACAGAGAACAGAATAACTCAACCGCCACAAAGGCAACCATGCACATGCTCCACAAGAGCCTTCAGCAAACTTTAGCTCATTCGCTTTCAGTTCTGCACAAGCCCTGTAAGGAACAAGCAATAGTCCCAGTGTCAAATGTTCCCATCTGTCCGCCTTACAAGGTCAGAGGTTGTGAGGACACTGTTGCAGAGATTCTCTTGGGAGTTAAAAAAAATAGCAATTCTAGAAGGAAATGTATAGAGAAAATAGTTCAACAGTGTATTTAACTTTAAAAAACTAAAGATAGAGTTACCATAGGATCCAGCAATCCCACTCCTGGGCATATATCTGGAGAAAACTGTCATTCCAAAAGATACATGCACCCCTATGTTCATAGCAGCACTATTTACAATAGCCAAGACATGGAAGCAACCTAAATGTCCATCGACAGATGAATGGTTAAAGAAGATGTGGTATATATACAATGGAATACTACTCAGCCATAAAAAAGAATGAAATAATGCCATTTGCAGCAACATGGATGGACTTGGAGGGCCTTATGCTACGTGAAATAAGTCAGGCGGTGAAAAACAAATACCGTATGATATTTATTTGTGAAATTTTAAAAAAATGATACAAATGAACTTATTTACGAAACAGAAATAGACTCACAGACATAGAATACAGACTTATGGTTACCAAAGGGGATAGTGGGGGGGAGATAAATTAGGAGTTTGAGACTAACATATACACATTGCTATATATAAAATAGGTATACAACAAGGACCTACTGTATAGCACAGGGAACTATAGTCAATATCTTGTAATAACCTATAAAGGAAAAGAATCTGAAAAAGATTAGATAGATTGATAGATAGATATAGATATTATAACTGAATCACTTTGCTGTACACTTGAAACTAACACATCATAAATTAACTACACCTCATTTTTTTAAAAAGGTATATTTAAATGTTCAGAGGGGGGAAAGTACCAGGGGCCATTTTGGAAAAATAAGCTCAGCCCTGACAAAGGCAGTGATGGGCAGGAGCCAGCTTGGACCAGCTCCTGAGCATCCACCGTACACAGCTCCTCCCAGCTCCCCCCCTCAGCACCAGCACTCGGTAGCTTGAAACTGGCAAGGGAACATTTACACCACAGGAATCGGCAAATGGTACACATTGGGCCTTTTTTGTTTTTTAAACAGAGAGCTGACTGTTCACAACACTGGGCAAAGGTCCTATAAAAGCGCAAGTTTCTTAACTGGGTGGTTAGTCATCCTACACATTTAAATGCAGAGTAATGTTTAAGCAAATGATGGTTTTAAATGTCAAGGAATTAAGAATCATATGAGAATATTTTTATGATTAGAAAAACATCACCACAGAGAAGTCATACTAGAATGACACATAAATGATGTTTCCTAATCCTTCATTCTTCTCACTTAAAAGAGAAAAGCCATAAAGAGTATGCATGTGTATGCATGGGTATATGGGGGCGGTAGAACACAGTAGGGAGTTGTCAACCTTCTTCTGATGCAAAGATATAAAAAAGCTGAGTGAGTGGTCCACTGGGAGAGGCAAGAAGCTGCATCTCTGTAAGATCTCTGCATCTCAAGTTGTGAGCCCATCTAGTCAAGGCTGGAATACAGATTGCTAGAAGCCCCACACTCTAGTCAGGACTAAAGTTATATAAAGGAGCTGCCAAGATTATTATTTTTTCCCTGCTTGATAGAGTTTTGACTCTAGGAAAATGTTTAGGGAAAGTTGACCCCACTTTCTACTGGGAGATAAAACTAATGTGCAATTAAATGTTAGTAGAGTTTTAAAATAGTTGAAAGGAGTATTCCTAGCTTTACCCAGGTGTTTGCATTATTTAAAATTTTGCTCTAAATTTTGTATATCTTTTCTAAAAATTATTGAAGATTCGTTTACACTTCTTGTTATTGTAATCCAAAGAAATATTTTTATAGTGTCAACGGGATGGCTACAGTAGCAGGTTCCGTATTATTGTTAAAGAGAAGTAGAAACAGTTACAGTTGGAGGGTAGGATCCAAGAGCTAAGTAGATGCTCATCAGATTATCCTATAGAAAGATGAGCCACTGTTATCATTTACACACATGGTTTTTAATAACTATATATAGCATAATGTATTAAGTTTGTAAGAAGATATTGTATATAAGAAAGGAGAAAACCTGGAAGCTCAAAATAGAAGTGACACAAGATGGAAGCAGAATCAAAAAGCATATAGTAGGGCTTCCCTGGTGGCGCGGTGGTTGAGAGTCCGCCTGCCGATGCAGGGGACACGGGTTCTGCCCCGGTCCGGGAAGATCCCACATGCCGCGGAGCAGCTAGGCCCGTGAGCCATGGCCGCTGAGCCTGCGCGTCCTGAGCCTGTGCTCTGCAACGGGAGAGCCCACAACAGTGAGAGGCCCGCATACCGCCAAAAAAAAAAAAAAAAAAAAAGCATATAGTAAAGTTGGAGTTAGATTGAAATCAGGAATATAATTTGTAGCCCCATTTTTTAAAAAATTTATACAATTTTTAAAGGTTACTTTTCATTTACAGTTATTACAAAATATTGGCTATATTCCCCATGTTGAGCCTATCTTACACCCAATAGTTTCTACCTCTCACTCTTCCACCCTTATATTGCCCCTCCCTCCCCCGCACTGGTAACCTCTAGTTTGTTCTCTATATCTGTGAGTCTGCATCTTTTGCATTATATTCAATAGTTTGTTGTATTTTTCAGATTCCATATATAAGCCATTATCATACAGTATTTATCTTTCTCTGACTTATTTCACTTAGCATAATGCCCCCCAAGTCCATCCATGTTGCTGCAAATGGCAAAATCTCATTCTTTTTTATGGCTGAGTAGTATTCCACTGTATGTATGTATGTGTGTGTATATATCTCTATCTATCTATTTATCTACATATATATATATACACACACATATATACACTGCAACTTCTTTATCCATTCATCTGTTGATGGAGACTTAGGTTGTTTCTAAGTCTCAGCAATTGTAAATAACGCTGCTATGAACATTGGGGTGCATGTATCTTTTTGAACTAGTTGCAACCCCATTTTTAAAAAAATCTATATTTTCTAGCTTTGTCATTAAAATGACTTTGCAGTGACATCACCCTGTCCACTTCTTTTACTTGTATGAATTATTTGATATGTACCCTTTGCACCCCAACTTTTATTTTTAATATTATTCTCTGCTAAAAGAAACCCAAGTTTCTTTGATAGTAATAGTTCCATGCCTTGGGGCAGGGAAAAAGAAAATGGGCCTGAATATGTTCTTGTTGCCAGAGAGGAAAGATATATTTTTTTAATGTCTGGGTAATGCTAAAAGGAACCAGCTAAAATTAAAGGCTCCCTTTGGCCAAGATGTGAACTTGAACATCAAAAAGAACACAGTAATTCTGTGAAAAGCCATGAGTTCATTATAATCCTCAAACTGAGTAAACTAATAAGGTATTATGAAATAATAAGCTCTATCTCTATCTATCTATCTATCTCTCTATCTATCTATCTATCTACAGGTCTCTGCCCTGAGTTCCCAACACAGGGCTCCTAAACCCCTTATAAATAGGGGGTTTCATTCTAACATTGAGTCTTTGGCCCCAGTTCCCAGCACAGAGCTCCCAAATCCCTTGGAATTTCTACCCCCCACCCCCATTCTCCAGAGAGGGGAGAGGAGCTGGAAATGGAGTTAATAATTGATCATGTCTATCTGATGAAGCTCCATAAAACCCCAGTAGTGTGGGGTTCGGAGAGCTTCCAGGTTGTGAGCACATCCACATACTTGGAGAGCAATGCACCCCAGTTCCATGGGGACAGAAGTTCCTGCGCTGGGGACCCTCCCAGACCTCGCCCTATGTATCTCTTCATCTGGCTGTTCATCTCTTATCATATCCTTTATTATATAGTAAACTGGTAAATGTGAGTGTTTCACTGTGAGTTCTGTGAGTTGTTCTAGCAAATAACCCAATAATGCAAGGGAGAGGAGGTCATGGGAACCAATTTGTAGCCAAGTCAGGCAGTTGTGGGTAACCTGGGGACCTACTTCTTGCGATTCATATCTGAAGTGGGAGGCAGTCTTGTGGGACTAAACCCTTAACCTGTGGGATCTGACACTATCTCCAGGTAGACCATGTCAAACTGAGTTCAACTGTAAGGTGCCCTGCTGGTGTCAGAGAGAATTGCTTGGTGTGAAGAAAACCCCCCCACATATGGTGTCAGAATATGAGTGTGGTAGTCATATGCGAGTGAAGGAGAGAGGCACTGGAGCAGTAGCATAGGTTTTCTTTACAGATTTGCTAAAGCAAAGGCAAAACACTGTATAATAATCAGCTCAAAAGACATGCCTGAAAAAAAAAAAAAGACGTGCCTGAGAACATCAAAGCCCAGCTTTCTTTTACCTGCCACATACAGTTAGTCATCCAGACCTATGGATCTGAACCCCCTATTAGTTCTTGAATGCATCTCCTCTACTCTATTTCTATGGTTACTGCCTAGTTCAGGCTCTTATCACTTTTTTTTTTTTTTTTTTTTGCCTACATTGGGTCTTTGTTGCTGTGCGCCGGCTTTCTCTAGTTGCGGTGAGCGGGGGCTACTCTTCGTTGCGGTGTGTGGCCTTCTCATCGCGGTGGCTTCTCTTGTTGTGGAGCACGGGCTCTAGGCATGTGGGCTTCAGTAGTTGTGGCACGCAGGCTCAGTAGTTGTGGCTCACGGGCTCTAGAGCACAGGCTCAGTAGTTATAGCGCACGGGCTTAGTTGCTCTGCAGCATGTGGGATCTTCCCAGAGGGCTCTGACCCATGTCCCCTGCATTGGCAGATGGATTCTTAACCACTGCGCCATCAGGGAAGCCCTATCACTTCTTTTTTTTTTTTTTTAACACCACCTAGATTACAGAAAAAGCCTCCCAGCTGGTCTTTCTACATCCAATCTTCACCAGCCCCTCTCCCCACCATCCATTCTCCATATTCCCGAGAAAATCACCTTTCTAAGATGCATAATATTTCCAAATTGAAATCAATAAGTGTAGTCCCAGGAGCCTGAAATTTTTCTTACAATATTTTTCTTAATTTTCTTTTTTATAATTAAAAAACTAAGCAGAGACATCTCTATGAGTGGCTACCCTATAATCAACTTCTGACTCATATTTTCTATGATCAAAATTAAATTTGCTCCAAATGAAGGTCTGCAGTACAAATAAAGGTCTCACAATAATTCAAACTGAAAAGAAGTGGTTGGAGAATGAAGGCGTTACCTAGCCATCAGAGGTGTAGGTGTGCAGACCTAAAAGAACTTGTGCCATAAGAATCAAAACCACAGTCACCCTGCAAGCTGATGTATTGTTGCCCAGACCCTATCTTGTACATACCAATTTGCCACATTTTTTAGCAATAAATATAATTGTAAATTGTGTATTGAGGTATTTTATGTTTCTGCTTCTAGAAACAATATAATTAGGTCCTCATAAAATGCATATTTCTTTAATGCCAAGAAGAACAATTAAAGAGAATAAGAACAGCTTTACTGAGTTATTGCCTCATTAAAATCAACATTCAAGAATTGCTCGGTAGTAGACTTTGGCTTGAGTATGAAGTCTGATTATTCTGAATTAGAAACAAAAGCCCTGAAATTTCCAGTTCCACATTGTAGGCCGGACATTTTCTGCATCAATATAATTGAAGTCAAAATACAGAAAGCAAATAAACATAGAACTGGACCTCAGGCCATGTGTTTTTACTGTTAAATCCAACACTGAAGGTTTAGTTTCAGCAAAACCATCCCTTCTATCACATTATACTAACTGTGATATAACATTTAAGTTGTTTTGTTTATATTTCATCTTCAAGTTGGTTTCAGTTTTATAGTTGCATAAGACTATTACAGGAAGGAGTTTTATGTTTGTACCTATTTTAGTGACAGCATAATAAAAATAATTTAAGAAACAGCAAGATTCCCACAGAACAATTACTCAAGCTTGAAAAATAGAGCTCAGGGCTTTTCTCCCAACACTCCTGCGTATGCCCCTTGCTGAGCTATTCAAAACTACTTGCCTATAATTCACCAAGCGTGGCAGTTTTCTTCAACCATGTTCTTCCTTCTGTATCAAACACATTTTGTCCGACTTCTTCACCTCACTCAAGACTATTGGTTCTTTAAAATTCTGCTGAAGAGGCTGAGAAGTTTTCCCTGAACTTCTCCTCAACACCGCCTCCCGCAGTGGCCCGTGTGATGTCCCGCAGTGGGGCATCCTTCCTCTGTGTTCCCCCAGCCCTGCTGCATCCCTCTAGCCAAGCACACTTCAACCTGCACTGTGATCCCTGATTTCATCTGCACATAATTCTCAGTAGGCCATATGCTCATTCAATCCTTCCAACAATCACAGGCAGTAGATATTATTATTCCCCCATTTTACAGATGAGAAAATGGAAGCTCAGAGAGGTACAGTGATTTGCCTAAGGTCACAAAGTAATCAGCAGGACTAAGTTGTCTACTCCAAAGCCTCTGCCCTTGCTACCGCACAAGACCAAATAGGTGTTTCTCAAAATCTGAGTGGTTGAAAAGCAGAAAAATGCATAGGAGAATCTGTTAACTTACCTTTAGTTTTTCCTTGAGAACTTTATTCCTTTGTAGCTTTATCATTTCATTTCTTTCTAAAACAGCCTCTCGCTGACTTTGAATAGCTTGCTGGATTGTGAAAAGAAATAAAAGCATGGCAAAGAGTCTAGGGTTATCAAGAGTGATAAAGGGATAAGATGCACATCTTGCGGGCAGCTCTTCCTCTGGCCCAGACAAATGTGCATGTGTTCGAATCATATAATACTAGTCATAAAAAGTATTATTTAAGAATAACAAGTCCAAACTCATCAAGATGTTTACATTAAATGTGTGTAACTTTTTGTCTATCAATTATATCTCAATTGAGCTTTAAAAAAGAAAGAAAAAAAAAACTAGTCCATACTTACACTTCCCACTTTTCTTTCCCTGAAATGAGAAATGTAACAATTATTTATCTCATGATGTGTCACAGCAGTCTTGACTTTCCCTGAAAGCAGCATATACTGTCATGCCTTTATGCCTCTCCCTAAGCTCTTTCTTCAGTCCAAATGCTCTGACCTACCTCCGGTGTCCATTTGAAAAAAGTATCTTAATTTCTCAATATATTGTCATCGGTGGAATTTTCTGTGACCTCACCACCTGGCCCAGTCAAAACGTAACCCTCACTCTCCGAGGTCCCATGGTACTTTACTTGTCCCTCTCATATAACCTTTCATCCTCTTTTAAGACAGTGACCTCAGTGACTAAACAAGATGCCTCTCTGAATCTGCTGCCTCTACCACAGTGTTCAATAAACACTTAATAAGTTCAACTGTATTATGTTCAGTTTTAGAGCTGGCACTGGAAAGGGAGCACTTGAGATACTATTCTGTGGTCGGGAGTGGGGTGAATGGAATTGCAGGGAAGAAAATAATGGAGCTGAAATTCCAACATAGACCAAGAAAGCAAGAAGTTGGGGGAAAAGTCTTAGTCTGTTTCTTCACTGAGGAATTTTTCTCTGCTTAGTTAGTTCCTGGAGACAGTAGACTCAAGTGGGGGGGATACGGCAGAGGGGACAGGTGGAGAAGCTTTTGTTAGAGCAGAGAAATACTGGCAAGGGTAGAGCCCATGACCATATGTCCTATGTCCCCGGAACAGACCAGTGTACACCTGCGATCCTCTGTAAAGATTAATTACAACCCCTTTCACTTTCAGAGTGCCCCAACATGGAAGATAAGTTCCAGTCCACCTAGTTACAGGGGGAACAGACATGTGCATGGAAATCAACGTATATTAACATCTATTAAGCTCTAAAATGCTTACCCTTCATTATGTTTTGTTAGAGTATGACTCTAAGAATGCTTTTACTTTGGGCCAAGTTCTGAACCTTTGAGAACCTTGCTCCATATGGGTTTAAAATCTCAGGAGGAGGCAAATCTGAAACAGAATCTTGACACTTCAAAGCGGTACCGGGCCAGACGGTGTTATAGGAAGTGCCCACTAGCTGTGGGGCGTCTACACTTCCCATATCTGGGGGGACGGGCAGGTCCACCACTCTGTAAAATGCCAGGAGCTGCTCTTTGCATCTCAGACACCTGAGTGGTGCCCCTGGAGCTGTGTAGAGCACAGCCTGTTGGGCGTTAAGCAGCTGCTCTGGAAGATTCCCAAGACAACCTACCCAAGGGTCCTGATGTCCCAGGAAATCACCCAGACTTCTCTTTTAGCCCCAGTGGTCACTTCCCTGAGTCCGAAATGCCCATGAGTCAAAGCTCTGTTGTTACCGTAATTACGGCAGTCAGGACCCATGGAGGAAAGCCCGCATCCCTGTAAGCCCAGCACCGTACCTTAGGTATTCCGGCAAGTGTAGCTTGTCGGTCTTGGTGACCACCAGGGCCATGTCCCTGCAGAACCCCCTTTGGCAGGCTTTGATGCTCTCGTTCAGAAGGTCTTCATGGGCTCTCCCTCCAGAAACTCTTTCGATGTCACTGATCAGCCAGATCACTGAGCATTTATCAATGGTCTGTGGAACATGACCATAGCATGTTTAAGAGCATAAATGGTGCCTCGGTTGTAGAGCATGTGCTTCCTTAATGTACCATGTCTGTCCTCGATGCCCTGCCCCGACTCTCTCTCCAACCCCACCTCTCATCCCTCCCCACCACATTCTTTTAGGCACCAACCATACGAGCTTCTTACACTTCCTGGGATGTAAATTGCTCATCTATCTCTTGGGCCCTTTGCCCTTGCCGTGACCTCTGCTTGACGTCCATTTGCCATCTGAGACTGCCAAGGGCCACCTGAGGCTAGCTTGGCCACCTCTACCTCTGCATCCCACAGCACCTGGACTTACCTGCCACAGTACTTCTCAGGCAGAACTATTGTACACGGTCGGCACTCTATACCCCTCTCCCCCTCTTCACCCAGACTGTGAGGTACCGGGTGGGAAGGGGCTGCACCTTTCAGCTTGGAATCCACATCACCTCAAGCACAGTACTTGGCCCACAGTAGAGGCTTCAGAGATGTTTGTGGCAGTAGTCATTGATAGAATTCAAGAAATCAGACCTCCAGTTCCAGATCCATCACGGGCTTGATTTACCTCAGCTGTCCTCTAGGGAAAATTATTGTTCTTCCAGAGCTAGTCCTGGTCATGATCTACCCCAAAGCTGTCACCACAGGGCATCATTTTGATGTCTGGCTGCCCCTGCATATTCAGCATACTACCACCAGGTGGCAGCAGGGAGCCAGAAACCGCGTGATTCAAGTTGCAAAGGCCAATTGAAATTGCAACCTGAAATTGCAACCTACTCATTGATCACATATGTATTGCTTTAGCTAATATGCAACTTTCATGTGACAAGCAATACTGTGTTGCTTTGTGACATTTCTCTGACTGCATTGTTTCACTCATCTCGCCATATAAGTGAAAAGCTGGTCCATCACCAGGACTGAGTTTGTGTATGGTTCCTCAGAACAGCACTTTGTACAAAAAGCTGTGACAAGTTTGCGAGTTGCTAATGAAATCATTATTTGCTTTATACTAATGGTTCTTAACTAGTGGAGGTTCTATACCCCAGACGACGCTTGGCAATGTCTGGAGACATTTTTAACCGTTTTGACTTGAGGGGGCACTAGTGTGGGTAAAGGCCACGGATGCTGCTAAACATCCTACAATGCCCAGGCCGGGCCCCTACAACAAAGAATTCGCCGGACCCAAAATGTCAAAAGAGCTGAGGCTGAGAAAGCCTGATCTAGAGCAGGGGGTTTCAAACATGCTTTTAATGGTGGAGCCTTTTTCAAATGAAATCTTAGGAAGAATTCCAATTGCCAAGCTTGATTTTTAAAAATAGAACTGCTATATTTGAATTGGGGGTGGAGGGTTTGGAGTCCCCACGTGCTCTGTGTCCCGCACCCTCTGCCCGTGAACCTCTTAGCTTCACGGATCATTGTTATGAAAGCATCCATCTCAAGTGTCAAACAAACTTCATTGTTTTATAAAGAAGGTACATAACAGGCCCCAAGAGGCAAAGGATCAGCTTAAGGCCACCCAACTATGGGTCCTGAACTTCCTCCCCTACATGGATGGACTCACATTCGGGCAGGAAAATAAAACCAATCGATCCCTCCCACTTCCCAAATTATAACCAATTTAGGGATGCTTCAGATTATTCCATCAGGCTGTGGAAGATGAAGCTCCTCCTCTAGGGCAGGGCCTCTTTCACTTTTATATTCCCCTGGTCCTGGTAAACTACAGGTGCTTAATAAATGTTTATTAAAAGAGAAGAGAACTGCAATCATAAAGGTTGCAGTGGTTAAATTTCAGGCCCTACACAAAGCTCCCGACTGCCAGGATTTGGTAAAATTAGAGTCACAGAAAACACCGGAAAAAAGCCGATCTATAAGACAAGAGCCAGTGGATTTGGGAGTGGGTAGGATGGCCCCCTGCCGTCGCCGCCCTCCTCCCTTCCCACAATGAGAATGGGCCTCCAAGAGGTCAGGTGACTCAGGCAGCACGCGGACGTCTGAGCTCTTAATGGTTTTAGTGTAGGGAAGGTACTGCTGGGCAGCTGGGGAGGTGGGGGCGAGGCATCGTGTTCTGCTCTCCCTGGAAGGAGGGGAGTCTCTAGTAACTTCTCATGAGAGGATATCACAAAACCACAAGCACGGAGGGGAGCTGCGACCAAGCAGAGCAGCCTGGGGGCCATCACTTCGCTTCAGCCCCACCTCCTCAGAGCTCCTCTGTTCTGAGCGGCCTTTGATAAGCTGCCCAGTGTACCTGAACTGGCAGCAGCCACGGCTCCATCCTGTGAGCGAGGCCGGCCACCTCCTCAGGCTGTCGCTCCCTGGGACTGGCCTGGAACTAGAGGAGGTTGGCGATTCCACTCCCAGAGCTGAAACCCTGCAGAGACAAAGGCTCTCCCGGCCAGGCCTGAGCAGACCACCAAGGGTGAAGGATGCTGGGACTGCCTCCCCCTTAAAGAACTGTTAGGGGATGTCCTGGGGGGTGAGAGACAGAGTCTCCGCTGGAAAGGTAGGAACCTGCTCTCTGGTTCAAATTCTGCCACTCAGTAGATGTGTGGTCTTGGGCAAATGACTTCCCATCTCTGAGCCTCCATTTCCTTATCTGTAAAATCAGGGCATAGGCTGAGTATCTGTAAGCTGTCATCCTGATCTTTATTGGAAACCACAGTCACAAAGCTCCCCCGGCCCACAGTCATTCGTTTAGCGCAAATCTGCTGAATTTAAAGTCTACCTATAACAGAGAAGCAGTGGGCCCGCAGTGAGTTTTTCGGCAGCCACTGCACTGATCGTGACTCACAGACACTGGCCCTCCTTCCCAGTCCCTTCTGGCTCTGGTCCCGTGCCCCGTGTTCCCTCCCACCCTGCACTCCTGAGCTCCTTCTAAGACGCCCTTTCTTTCTCTGTCACTCACCCGAGTCCCTCCTGTCCTCCGAACTTCCCCAGGAAGCATGGTATTAAAGCCCACCCCACCTTTCCCAGGCTTGGCTTCTGCGCCTCTCTCCATCCTTCCCCCATGCCCTCAGCCCTCTGGGCTCCGCAAATACTGCAAACGGTGCTCAGGGTCCCACTCCCACCTGCCTCCTCTACGTGGTGGAGGCTGAGCATCTGTATCCACTCTGAAGCCTCACCCACCTCCCAAAGGAAGTCATCACCTTGTGCTCTCATTTTTAAGTAACGGGGTTTGTTCATTAGTGTGTTTCATTCCCTTCTGGACTACGAGCCTTCCAAGGGCAAGGACTTTGTCTCCGTCCGTCCAGAGCCTATCATAAAATTGAGGAGATGCTCAGTGGCTGTTTGTTGAAGGAATGAGCTCTCTGGTTGGAGGTGATTTCGACTTTTGAGAGCTCATAGCTCCTCGTGCTTCTCTTACATCATTTTCTGCCACGTATTTCGTCATCTGCGTGTTTCATTTCTCCTAGCAGACTCTAAGCCCCTTGAGGGAAGGCTCTGCTTCTCATTCACATTGTTTTATTTTGTTTTCGTCTTTTTAGTTTTAAAGATAATACATGTTCAGGCAAAATATACAAACAATACAGAGGTGTCTGTAGTAAAGAGCTGTAGGAAACACAGAAGCTGCTCTTAACAGTTGGGTATGTATCTTACCAGAAGGCAGGATCTGACTTTTGCCGTGCATTTGCAAACATTACACACACACACGCTTCTTAACATATAAGGTCATGTTCTGTACCTGTTCATTCACTCTTCATTTTGTGTTGTTTATCATGTAGGATATAGTAGAGGTTGACAGCAGAGAGGCTCTTGAGCCTTCTTGCATGGGTTATGAGCTATAAAATTAGCTCAGCTCTCATTATTATTAGCTATAATCTTTGCATCCTCAGTGCTTAGTACATAGTCTTACATATTGTATGTGTTTGATGAACAGAAAGCAAATTAACAAAGAGATAAATTCTTTAAAATCCCCCAGCATCTTATCACTAGGTACAGCTCAAACTGCCCTAGTGCTTAACTCTCTGGCTGCAGACACATCTGGGGGTGGGGGGGGGTCCGATCAGCTTATGCTCCATTTGCTGGGAATTGAACTCCTACCTACTTTCATCTCAATGACCCCCTTCAGGCACAGCTGACTAAACTAGGGATGGATACTTAATCCAGAGAGAGTTGATCCTTAGCTGGGTGGTAATTGATCAGATTTTCCTTCTGAGGAATTTGAACTAAAAGACATAGAGACTATAGTCAGACAGTGATAGGCACAGGAACAGCAGTGTCATTCAGAGACGCAGCTAAGGCGGTCCTGTTCCACAACATTGGCGCTAATGGCTAAGGGAGAAGCAGGACTCAGCTGACAGATGCACAAAGAGAAACAGGGTCACAAGAGACCAGGCAGAGGATGAGCGAGAAAATAGCAGCTTCCAGCCTGATAGGTGGTCCTGGGGCCTGGCTGTGTCTCGTGAGATCCTTTGATAGCCTTTTGATTAACCCTTCTTGACTTGGGATTTGCTTTAGTGAGTTTCTCTTCCCTACAACCAAACATGGGAGCAGCCTCCTGGTTCCTTGGTGCGTGGCTATTGGCTTCTCTGCTTTGTACCCAAATCTGGGCCTCCCTCTCCTGCTCTGTCCTTGTTTCCTCTGCTCACTCTTGGACAACTTTATTGCTGGCCCTTTTCATCTGTCACATACTCATGATTCCTCCCTCCCCAATTTCTCTGGCCAACCATATCCTGCCATTGCCCTGAGGCTTAGAACGTGGAAGAATTTAACTCCGATGAGCTCATAAAATCCTGTAAGCGGAAAGCAGAGCATTCTTTGCTGCTTTAGAAAGGGTGCTGGAGTTGAGGAGAGAGGGAACAAAGCCATAGGAAAGAGAATCACCTTTCTCCACATCTCGTCCCTCTTGCTGTTGAAGTCGCCTGTGCCTGGAATGTCCACCAGCACAATGCCTTCTGGAATCAGCTCCGATTTGGGAAGAGTCACTTCCACCAGTTTGATCAAGGGCCAGATTTGTGTCTCAGCTGATCCTTCATCCCAGCCTCTCCTCTGAGTCCGGATGTAGGGGTCCAGCTTGAGAGACAGCTCTCCTGCCTGAGGAAGAGGGACAGGTAACAGGTCACACACACCAGACATTCTCCCAGCACATCTACCCTGAATGGACTGTGACTCAGTTTCACCAAAGGTCCACTGAGAAACGTGAAAAGCAGCACCTGGGCAACAGGCACCAGGAGGCCTCAGATCCAGCCTGGAAGGGTCTAGACTCAGAACCAGAAAGGACGCTGGAGATCAGGAAGTTCAAGTTCCTTAACTGACACATGCAGAAAACAAAGTCAGTTAGAACAGGCTTCACTGGATAATGAGTGTATCTTCTAAATTCCATTCCAGTTCTAAAATTAATGGAAGTCATATGCAATATTCTAAATTTGAGAGAGAGGATTCTTCCCACATGGTTAATGTGAGCATGTTCATTACCAGAAAGCCCTGACTGTGGAAAATGGATAGTGAGATGGTGAGCATATTTTCCAGATGGAAAATTGAAGTTGATCTTCAAAAAGATTTTAAAAATTTATCTTCCAAGTACCAAAAAAATATATTGACATATAGGCATTTCCAGGATGTTTTCGTGATGGTGGGTGAGATGGGGGATCACCCTCAGCCTGTTGTTTTTCACGAAACATATCTTGGTACCATGACATCTTCATGCCAGCTACTATATATGGCAGCGAATCTCTATGGGATACTTCAGGGGAGAGAAGATTTGGGATGCACGGTAGTCATTGTTAATAAATATCTACAGAATGGTCCTGAAAGAAAGATAAATTAAATTCTTAAGAGAGTTGAGATTAAGTCAGAGGATTTGTTGCAATCTGATTTAATTGCAGGGTAGGGGGTAAGAGGTTTCATCGATTCTAATCGAATCACAGGAAATTGTGAGAGAGGAAATGATAAAAGTTCTTTAAGATATTTTGATTAAAATATAAAGGAGATACAAAAAGAGCAACATAAAAGAAAAAGCACGGGCTTTCTGTAAGAAGAGGGCTCCACTCAATAAACTGGTGGAGGCGAGTCATGCTGGGAGGGAAACTCAGATTCTCTCACCCCAGCCTACAATCCCTGACCCAAACTCTGAATTTGTACCCTCATTCATGGAGATGTTAATTCTGTTCCTCTTGTTTCCATGGGTAAATTCGTAACACCGGGAAGGGATATTTCTAAATACAGAGTAGTGAAGAAATGAATATTATATTGATACCGTGGTGTAAGTTGTGTGTATTCAGATAAAGTAGCCAGTTTTATCATCATTACATTTCTTTGGACGTGCTCGGTCTGTGTTTTAGATATTAGGAGCATAATGCGTTTTAACTATAATAGCCATTTAAATATAAGAAATGGCTACTACATTTGTTCCATTTTCTAGATATATAAGAGCTAAGTGCCTTGAAAGGTTTAATTCATTTGACTTCTAAGTATGCCTGGTCAAGTATTTCCATTTTTTTGAGAGAATCAAATATATTAAATTTGAACTATAAAAAGAAATGTTGATTAATTATGTAAGTAGCATTAACTTTGAAAGGAGGCTTTTCTATGGTAAACTTAGGAGATAATTGAACGTTAAATTTTAGAAACAGGTGTAAGTAATTGTTCTTGTTTCATACAAAAATTGCCAGATTTACAAATGGAATAACAATATATTAAAGGTGAATTTTCAGATGCAAGAAACACTAGGTTTTTAAATGTACAACATTAATAAGTTACAGATTAGTTGCCCATGTATTCTGGTTTCATTTAAAATTGAATTTTAATTTAAATAAAATGAATATTGATCATAAAAATGAAGAGGGCATTGTTCTACTAGGTGCACATCCTGCATCCATCCTGCCCTTCACCTGCACCAGCAGCATCCTGACTGTGTGTTTATTGTAGAAGGCAGTGGGTTGAGATTGGTCTCAGCCAATCTTGGCAAGTCTGCTTCTTGTTTTTTCTAGACTCTCCTTCAGCTCAGAGAGGCCATGTGACTCAGTCCTGAACAAGAAAGTCTACATGGAAATTTGTTGGGTGTGTTTCTAGGAAAGCTTTTACTTCCCAGTGAAAGAAGAGATGTGGTTGGTGCCACCTTTTTATCCATGTCTTCCTTCCATGAAGCTAGCTGTGAAGTCCAGCACTTCAGTAGCAATTTTGTTACAATGAGGCAACAGATGTGGAAGGTCAGGGGAACCAGAGAGATGCGGCCATGGTTGAGCCACTGAACCAACCCACAGACCCAACTGCCCCCAGACTCCTTATGTGAGAAAATGAATAAATCCCTATTTGTTTAAGCCATTAAAAATTGGGCTTATTTTTTAAATTATTTGCCACCAAAAGCATCCTTAATTAATCTTCAAGTAACTGTAAATAGTCTTTCCTGTGAACAAAAACTCCCCATTCAGACACTAAAAATTCCCATTTGACAGCCATAAATAATGAAAAACCACTTTCTCATGGATACTTCTGATTTTGGTATCAACTTATTTCCAATAAGAACACTGTGCCTTGCGCAAATCCCCTAAAGGGATTCAACTGTTATCCTTGAGACTCATGAAAAGATAAAGACGTTCTGAACCCACCTCTTCCGCCTTGAGGGTGATGACTCTGGAGGTGGGGATCTTTCCTTTGGGCTTTGCCCTTAGTAACTCCTCATAGCTCTTCCTTTCCACCCCGTTTCCATAAACCATTTGTAGCTTCCAAATGGCTTCCTCCACTGCATCGTCCCTGTCCCAGGCATCCTCTTCTTCTCTGCCCAGCTGCTCAGGCCTGTGCAGGAGTTTCGTCAAGTTCTTCAGCTCCTGCTTCCACTCCTGCCAAGGCAGAGTGGGGGCCAAAGCCCCCCAGGACACAGATACAGAAGACACTGACAAAGAGAGAAATCCATCGTCCCCGTGGAGGGCAGGGGGCTGCATACCCAGGAAATCTAAAATCACCTAATCCCATCAGGGATCATCTAATCCAACCCCCAGGTTTTGTCCATGAGGAAACAGGAACCCAAAGAGGGAAACGTCCTGCCCAAAGTCCCATAAAGAGCTGAGACAGGACCCACTAGAACCCCCATCTTGCTCTGTTGGACTTTCTCATTCTGTACTGTGTTCTTTTCGTTTAACGAAGACGTGAGCTATATTTACAAGGAACATAATGTTAGTCTCTGAGAGGGGGCGGGAAGGAAAGAAAAGGAAGAAGGATGAAAGAGAAGGAAGGAGGAAGGAAAGGAGGGAGAGAGGGAGGATGACAGGGAGGGAGGGAGGGAGGCAACACTTACCTGGTTGGAGAGTAGGTGGATTTTGGCTTCATACTGCTCGCAGCAGCCTGAACTCACTTGAACAATACATGATGTACATATACTTTCTCCAGACACTGGCAGAAACATGGCTTGCTGGATGATGGCATTGATCAGGGAGCTCTTCCCAGCCCCAGTGCTTCCAAAGAATCCGATGTAGATTGGGTCCAGTGATGGTTTTTCAATCAAGGCAAGAAGCCTATTTCTAGATCGATTTAAAAATGCTCATTGTCACGGTTATCGAAGCATAGTGGGGAGATCATCAGAACAGAACACAAAACAGCTGAGTTCTAGGGACTTCCCTGGTGGCACAGTGGTTGGGAGTCCGCCTGCCGATGCAGGGGATGTGGGTTCGTGCCCCGGTCCGGGAGGATCCCACGTGCCGCAGAGCGGCTGGGCCCGTGAGCCGTGGCCGCTGGGCCTGCGCGTCCTGAGCCTGTGCTCCGCAACGGGAGAGGCCACAACCGTGAGAGGCCCGTGTACCAAAAACAAAAACAAAAACAAAAAACAACTGAGTTCTAATCCTGGGCAAGTCACCGCATCTTTCTGAATCTCTGTTCTCTCCCTGGTCAAAGGGGAATATTCATCCCTGTTTACTATACAGAGTTGTCATGAGGATCAAACGAGATTATGCACAAATACTTGGTAATGATAATTCTACACAAACTCTACAATGTCTATATAGATATGAGGTCTCCTTATTTGTGTTCCATGGAAATGACATGGTCTTGATCTTAGAAATAAAGTTTATGCAGAGGTGAAGTGTTATTAGGAGCAACATGAAGAGTCTTACTGGGTGGGAGATGCGGCCTTGACACCACTCAAGTCCTTCTAGTGAGCTGGGCACAGGCCATTGAGGGCACAGGCTCAGAGTCCCACAGCCTGGGCTGGATTCCAGGCCCTTTCACTTACCAACCGTGTGACCTTGGTCAATGTCTTGGCCTCTCAGAGCCTCCGTTTCTGCAAAATGGGGGTGATAATAATGGCTCCTACTTTATAGGGGTATTGGGACACTTAAACGAAATTTGATATATATAAAGTATCTAGCAGGTCACCTAGCAGCAGTGACAGCTCAATGAATGGTAACTATCGGAAATAACAATAATGGCCCGTAGCTACAGAACTTGTTGGCTTTCTTTGCTCTGTTTTTAATTGAAAATTCCCTTTCATTGTTGGAGAAAAGCACCTACCACCGCCTAAGGAAAGACATCCAAGTAAGATCTGATGGTAGCTGATGTCAGACTCACATGAGGTACTTGACACCATTAGGGATGCTGTCATCCAGGAACACAGACTGAATGAGTTTCTGGTAAGTGTTGCTCAAAACCCTTCTCGTCCGTGACTCCAGTTTTTCATCTGGAATCAACAGAGATGTATTAGCCGGGACGTACCTGGCAGGGATCAAGTACTTGGTCTCCACAAGAGGAATCTGCTCAATATTACAGAGAAAGTAAAAAAAAAAAAAGAAAAAGAAATGAAAAGCCAATTAAACAAGAGAACAAGTTATCTGACATAAGAGATAATAGCTTGTGGGACAGCAATCATTGATAATGAGGGCATCGCATGAAGCCAGCCTGCTCTGAGGCTCAGTGTAACAGAAGTCACATAGGCTTCACCATGGGCTGTAGCCCTTCTAGATTCTTCTCTCCTGTGGTCATAAAAAGAAAAAAAAAAATGCAAGGACATCATATAAATACCCATGAAAGAACCAAAACAACCATTTTTCATTCACAGTTCTAACCAAGAAGAGATTATTTTTGTAACAAGCCTCCTATCCAGATTCTGAGAGATAAACTGTCATATTACATTATCTCTGCAGAGACTAGGAGGCCTCCTTTTTTGGATCGGGATCATTCGGAGATGTCCCATCCTGCTTCTCAATGTAACCTTCTCTTCCTCTGAGCCTGTTAACACATTTGGAAAAGAACAGAGCCACATTAAAACAAGTGGCAGAGCCCTTTCGTGACACTCACATTCCTTAAGGGTGCTTTGTTCCACAGAGGGAAACGCTCGGAACCGCTGGTCTCGATCTGACCGTCTTCTTTTTTTCATTGGTTCTTTAAAGAAATCATCATCAACTAGAGATAAACAGAGCTTATATAAAACTATAGGTCTTGGGGGCATAGTATACGGCTGACCTTTAAACTATATGCAGATTTTTGACTTCGAAGCAGGGTGCGCTCTAACCCCTGCGTTGTTCAGGGGTCACTGTGTTTGCCTGACCTCTATCGATACACAAACCCAAAGAGTCTAGGAGGACCCCTGCCAGCCCTGGATGTCCGGGAGCTCATTTCAGAAGCAGCCCTGTTGGGCCATTCCTAATTCCCAGAGTCCCAGGACTCTGCATCTAGTTCCAAAACGCAGAGTCCAACATATCTCCCCCAGAAAATAAGTTGAAACGACATAAAAAGTTCCTGTTTGGGAATCCTGAGAAGACAAAATGGCTCGATATTCTTCACCAAGTGCCAAGGGTGTAAAGAGAAGCCCAAGATGGCTCAGCGTGGGGGTGGAGAAAGGCCCCTAGGAGATCTTTTCAAACAGGGAAATTGATTGGGAGCAGAATCAGAGGAAAGAACAGGCCACGTGACCACGGCAAATCTCTTCTTCTCCCGGAGCCTCAGTTTCTTCATCTGTAAAATGAGTCAGCTGACAAAAATATCCATATAAGTAATACAAGCGTTTTGGAGGGTGCCCTCCCAGTGGACATCCTTCAGAGGTTAAATTGGGGGGCTTTCCTCCCACTTCCTCACTGAAAGACATTAGCAGCCACTTCCTTACATGGGTGAGAAAAAAAAAATTGCCAAGAAGCAAATCTTTGTAGTTCTGCAGAGCTTTATTCACTTTAGTGGCTTCCATCAGTTATGAAGTGAAGAACTGGAAGGGTCCATAAACCTCAGGAAAGGGTGTAACCAAAACTGTGTGTTTGGGTGAGTTTTAGAAAACACTCCCCTGGCAGGATTCACCTGATTAGAAAGGGGCAGTAGGTGGGGTCTTTGGAGTCAAGATTGTTGGAAATGGTTCTAACCCAGTGCCCCTGGGGCTGGCGTGGGCCTTAGGAAACGACCATGAGGTGACCTGGAAAAACAGGTGACCCCAAGAGTCATACTCTCTAAGCTCATAAAAGGGCGTGAGGCCTCCAAACCGAACATGACACAGGGTTCATACTCCTTCAAGAACCACAGAGAGGGAGTTTCGCTCAGGGACCCAGGGTGGCAGCCTGAGCAGAAGGCCCAGCCTCTGCCACTGGCCTGCGGACGCGGGTCTCCCAGATAACTCAGGCGGCCTCGGCCTCGCATCTTCCAGCACAGATTCTGCTGTGTTCTGGAGCCAGTTCACACCCCACAGAGTACTGCAGCACAGCCTGAGCTGTCTGCCAAAGCCCGAATCTCCGCGCCCTCATGCTCACACAGTGACAGGGAGTTGAGAGAACTTGTCCTTAGACCCTCTCTCTCAGACATTCTAACTTTACGAGTGAGCTCCACTCAAAGTAGTTATCCTGGCTCAGTCTAAGGACTGCCTTAGAAACAACCAAGGGGTTGCTGGCTCAGTGGCTATGCCGGAGTGGAATGGGCAAAGAAGAAAGAAGAACATGCCACTAGTTAGGGAGTTTGGGATGGACATGTACCCACTGCTGTATTTAAAATGGACAACCAACAGGGACCTACTGTATAGCACAGGGAACTCTGCTCAATCTTACGTAACAACCTAAATGGGAAAAAAGAATTTGAAAAAGAATAGATACATGTATCTGTATAACTGAATCACTGTGCTGTACCCCTGAAACTAACACAACATTGTTAATCAACTATACTCCAATATAAAATAAAAAGTTAAAAAAAAAGTGGAGCCAGATAAGGTTTTCCAAAGTCCCCAGATTATTTGATTATAATATGCAAATATCAATAGCTAACTTTAATAATTTAGCTTAAGTAAGGGAATACACTGTAGGTTAAACTTTTGAACCTAGATATTGATAGTAGGGGGGGTGACAGAATCACAGGATTTTACATTGGAAAACAATGTAAAATATGTATGAATTGAGATGTAGAGTTCCAGAGAGATCAAGTGACTTGTTATAACGGGCACAGAGCTAGCAAATGACACAGCAAGAACAAAAAGCCAAGGATGTAAACTCCAAGTCCAATGTTTTTTGACACACAATTACAGTCTTAATACTTTAAATTATTATACATTATGGTTTAATATTGTGGAAGATGTCTGTAACTTATTCTTCTATTTTATCCATGATCTCAGAGTGTGGAAAAGAAAAACATTTAGAGTTATAAATATGTCATGACTGAAGCTATCAAGTGAAATTCTAGAAAATCTGCCAATAAGTTTTAACAAAATAAAGCAAATAATTTTTAACCATTAAAAAAAAAAAAAACAACATGCAACTTGGGCCCCTAGGCCAGCGGCCAGTGGCCAGCGGCCAGCTGAAGAACAATTTAGTACATGTTATAAACAGTGTCTTGGAATTCCAGTGTGTTTCCACCCTGCCTGTGGAAAGAAAGTAAAAGGATGGAGGGCCTTGATCTTGACTCTGTAACTCGGGAACTCTCTTGTGTAAACAACGTTTGCACAGTATCTTAGCCACATGTACCAAAGAGTCTCAGTACAGCCCATGTATCCTGGCCTTTATTTCAATTTTGTAAAGACTGGCAATTAATCTGATCAAAGTTTGGAAGCTTATTTCTCAACTAAAGCAAACGCTGAGAAGTCAGATAAAACAGCAAGGTTTTAAACTTTTCCTTCAATTTCTAAAATGAAAAACCACATGGAAAGGAAAAAGTACTTCATCTGGGATTTAAACCACTTAAGGGTAGTGGTTTTACATTAAACTGTAACCGGAGTGAATTGGTGTGAACTGGCCACATTCATTCGTCCCTGTAGTTGCTCAAGCACTCCCTCGCCTTTTCCAGCATTTTACACTGATTTATTCGAAGAAGGGCAGAGGGGTGAGTAGGAGCAATCCAAAGAAGTCTACCTTAGTCTCTGCTGCTGTTGCTTCTTGTTGCCACAAGGTGTCGCTTTTGACAACTGCTCTCAATACAGGCTCTGTGTTGATCCAGACCGTTGCCAGCACCTGCCGCAGATCTTCCCAGCAGAACGCCCCACGCCTTCAGGGCTAACCTCAACCAAGGGGTCCCCAGAGTTGCAGTTCCTTCAGTTTTCATGCCCAGCCACGTCTCAGATGCTAGCACTACCCCACTGACCCAGAAACACTGATCCCTTGCCCTTAAAGGAGTTCATCCCCAGGAGTGAAGCAATTTTTCCTCTTCAATTCTCAAAACACGAAGGATGTGATACACCCTGCTTTCTGCACATAGGGGTTACTCCCCTGCATCTTCCGAGGGAAGGTTCCCTCCTTGTCTCCGGGGGCCCTACACCCAGCCTTCTAGGAAGGGGGGCCACCCTCACAGACTCCAGTGTTGTTCACCCTACAACTCTCCTTCTAAGGAAAGCACCTGCAGTGATTCCAGGGGCTCACCTTGCCCGTTCTGAGAGGGCTACCCCCAGAAAACCCAAGATGGTTTCCTGGAACCTTCTTTTAAAGGAGGGGGGATCACAAATGTAACTGCTGGTCAGACAACCCACTGTACTATGAATGGGGTATTTTAGTTGTTACTGAAATAATTGATGTCCATTCACTGTTAAAAATGTGTCGTGAGAAAGCAGCTTCTGAATAAAGAGCAAGGAACAATGACCGTAGTTCAATACAGTCTCAATACGTTTGCCCTTGATTATATAATGGTAAATAGTCCCCATTCATTTCATCAGGTGATATTGTAGGGATGTTACCTGGATGTGGCTCCTGACCCACACAATCTTCAGTTTCTGCCATTTCCTGTGTGTATCACCTGCTTTTGTCCACTTAGAGCGTCAGCCTGAAAAAACATGCACGCAAAGTACAAGGGTGGAGGTGGGAGGGGTAGACTGCAGAAATTGTAAATACAAAGAAAAAACCAAAAATAACATGTAATTTTGCTTACACTTTGTCTCCCCAGGTAGATTCCAAGCTTCTAAAGGGCGGTGGCCATTCTAATTTATTTTCAAATCCATCACAACAGCGAATTCACTACACATTGGTTTAAATATGACAAAAATCCATGTTTGAGTATTGGTTTTCAACAGTAGTTGTATCCGTAGAACTTTAAACTGAAAAGACTGAGATCTTTAAGGCAACTCACTCTGAAAAGAGAATAAACCTCTAGTGACCAGACCCTTGAAGGTGAAGTTATATAGCTTTGCTGCTTTGGGAGACATCGGCGCCCCCATCAGGTAACCCTTGAACTCCTTTGCCAGTGATGTCGAGTCCCAGGAGGTCTCAGCAAGTGTCTGGGAGCTGGATGGAATATTTGATACTCCTGGGGCCCCCTGGAGTTGCCCTGAGTGGGGGAGGAGAGGTGCAACAACTAGGGTCTCTGGATCTTCCTCACCAGCCCACCCAACACTTCAATCAGGAAGACACCCCTACTGGGGGCTACGAGAAGCTCCACCTCATGGGGCATCTGCGGGTGGCAGGGTGGGTGGAGAGAAGGAGAAGTGCTCCAAAAGAAGGGCCAGATCCAACCTGTCTCTAGTCCCGGACACACAGGCTTGGGCACAGAGGGAGAAGTGGGTCCGTAAAGGCTCAGAACAGTGGGCCCTGCTCCCCTGGCGTTTCTTTGTCCCCACACATTGAGGAGAATCTGAGGGACACAAGTTGGGGGGCATCTGTGCTTCTTCTCCACTTCTGATGTTGCTATTTGGATCACTCAGCCGCGTAATTCAAAAGCAGAGAGTCACCAGCCCTTCTGAAATATGCAAAAGCCCACCTGACCTGTCAACCCCGACTAGACCCACAGGCCGTTAGTTGTGGAGACGGCGCCTCGTTTACATATTACCCCCAAACAAAAATCACCACTCATCAGTCGAAAGAGCCTCTTATTCTTAGTTTGCATCATGGGTATCAAACCAAACAAATGGTTTCTGTACTTGATGGGTTTTTGTTGAATGTGGGGTGAACCGTACTATGTACAAGGTCCTGAGCCTTCACTAGAGCTCCTCATATCTCCGTTCTTCATCTTGAGCCTCCCTCTCAGACCACCCCAAACTCCTTGCGGTCCTCCGAGGCAGGGAATCCAAGAAGAAACGTGCTTCTGTGTAGGGTACCCTTCCCCTCTTCTTCCTGGTGAATTCCTACTCTTTCTTCAAGATCTTGTTTGAGTATTTCCTCTGTGCAACTGTGTCCTGATTCCCATTCATTCCCTTCTTGTGTCACCACTGCTCCAAGGACATCTGTGCTATGATGCTTGCTATGCTTCCTTTATGTCTCTTCCTCTTTACTGAACCGTGAGCTATTTCAGGTCATAGTGCATTGATTTCAATGCTGCATTTCTATCATGAAGTGCAATGACTGACGTTAATGCTGAATGACTGAATGAAGGAAATCGTGGTGGGAAGCTTTTGATGAGATTCTATACCAAAGGATGTTTTAAAATCAAATTCATTTTGATAGGACTGCTCCATAGGAACTGAGAATGCTCGGCTTGAGGAAGGGAAGACACAGGCTAAGGCAGAAGACAGGGAGAGGACTTCGTAGTGGTCTTCAAATACTTGACCTTAGAGCTGCATATAAAAGATGGACGATGCATGTTTCCAGTGGTCCCAAGCAGGGAGAACTAGATCCACTAGGTGTAAAGTATGAGAAAGCATATTTTTGCTGAACATTCTCTGGTAGTCAGAGTTGTCCAAAATGGAATGTAACAAATTTTCTGCCCCAGAGGTGTCTAAACCTTTACTGGTACAGCAACCTAATAATAGCATTGGACTAGATGGATTTTAAGGCTTCTTTAAATCCCAAGATGCTGTGTTCTTGCTTGAAATGGTCACCAGTAAAGCTGGTGGTGGGAGGGCTCTACGAGGTCACTAAAATTCATGAGAGTTTCCTGATTGGAAATGCTGAGTTAGAAATGCTAAACCGCATCAAAACCTAGGCGAGTTAGGAGGAAAAAATATGGTAATGTCATCAATAACTTTAGATGAGGAACTGGGAATTGCCCCTCAGAAAGAGATCTGTTGTTTTCTGAAGACAGCAGCTCCATGAGCCATAGTCACACAAAATGTTAGGCATCATATCACAGTGGGCACTGGAAACAAAACAACATGTGTGGTCCTCCCAGGGGACAGATCCACTGTAGGCCTTCAGGACAGCTTATTCTGCTAGTCAAATGCCAGGAACAGTTAGAGAAGCCGGATGAAGCCCCAGAGAACTAACAAGTTGCTAAGTGTTACCACCATTTGAACACTGAGATTAAGGCCCTTCAATCCAAGACGGAAGAGGGCTTGGAGTACAAGCAGACGTGTTCGCCAAATTCTAGAATATGGGCAGTTTTGGGCTCCCCAGGGTCACAGGACTTTACTGATTAAATCAACAGTGCACAGTGGCCAGCAAGGGTTATTGGCATGTAACTGTCTGGGGTTAGATTGGGTTTAGCTGCTTGCAATGCACACCAAACCATGAGCCTCCCACTATAAAGCATCTATGGTACCAGTATAGGAGTAATGTGTGACCCCTAACTGAAATTTGGGGAAACTGGAAATTATTTGAGTTGTGGTTGTGGTGAATTCTGCTTCATTTATTCCTTCTGCCAATGTTCCAACACTGGCAGAAAGGGCCCATTAGATTGATAAACGAAGACACCGGAAAATGGAAAGGGATCGTTTACTAAAAGGCTGAAGAGGCAGAATGAAATAAATGCCAAGCACTTACAGAGGAAAACCTATAGACAAACATATCAATTAATAGGAGATAGTGTGGTATAGCCCCTCAGTATATAGCCATTGAGTTAAACTAAATGATATGGTGGGAAGGGCATTAAGCTTGAAATCAGGTGTGGCAGTTTCCAGTTCTGGCTTTGCCAAAATCAGAGGAGCCATAGGACTTGAGACCCATCATTGTACCACTCTGGGCCTTAGCTTTCCCATCTATAAATTGAACTAGTCCTTAAGGTGCGAATGTTCTCTGATTTAGTTGGGAGCCAAAAGGATTAAGTTCTTATTTTGAAACGTCACTTGCCATGGAAACCAAGACTGTTACCAATAACTAGGGCTCCTGTGTCATCAAAAGCAGCACAGCTGAGATTATGGTCATTTCAGGTTCATTTTGCTTTGAAGAGCAAAAGACCCATAGTCCTTCCTCAAATTATGTTGGGCTCCACTTTCCACCAAAGAGAGGTAGCAACGATGGTATATTTTGTGAAAATTTGTTTCTGTAGAGGAGCAGTTGAAAACGTACAAATGTATTGCTCACACGGGCAAGCTTTTTATGTGTGGTTTATTTCACTTGTATTTCAACTGTGTGGTTAACAGTTAAGTTTTTCTCTTAGTACTTATTTACATTCGTGTGCACTGAGCCTAAGAATAGCATCTTTTAAATGAGACTCTCTGCATATTTATCTAAATGTGGGAAGGTTGCACAGAACCAGTTTCCTGTCAAATAATTGTGACTATTGACACCTTTTCTTGCTTCTCTTGCTCTCCTTTCCTTCTGTTTGTGTTTGCTTACTGCCTTTTTTCTTAAGAGAACATAACAGAGGTGACACAAATGCAATGGTCACTCCTATACTAGAACAGCTTCATGTAGTGGAATTAAATAATGCTCTTGAGCCCCTTCTACAGATTTGGACACTGAGGCCCAGAGAGGGGAAGGGACTTGTCCAAGGTAACGTAGTGAGTCCAAGTTCCGTGTTCTCTTCATTCCACCAAGCAGCCTCTAAGTGGTACTATTTAAACAAAGTCTCTGGAGCTTAAGAGTAGGAGAATGAGGGAACAGTGCCCACAAATGAGGGGCTCCCTCTAATGCATGATGAAGGCATTCGGGGAGTGAAGGCTGTTGAGTAGCAGGGAGAGTGGGAACTTGATAAAAATTGTGCTTAGGGGCTCCAGCTGAAGCTACTGTCTGCAAATTCTTCAATGCCCTCAGAAGAAAACAAGCCAGACTGTGTGCGGGGTGTGTGCGTGTGTGGTGAGGTGGGGAACGAGTAGTACATTTCACTGCCTTCAGTCTGTGTCCGAGGCAAACTGCATGTGTTTATTAAGAATGACAAGCGTCCAGGTTTCTTCTCCTCCTTTAGTCAGAATCTCATCCCACCTTCCCTTGCTTCCCATTAACCCCTCCCGACATGATTCTTGTTTTCCTTTCATTTCTGTCCCCTATCCACCATCCCAAGGTAACACTGATAGGAAAAAATTTAAATGCTTCAATTAGCAAAGTTCCTTGAAGGGGCATTTTGATCATTAACATTGGTTTATGCCCCACTTTTAACAAATGTGGGAAGTGCTCAGTGCTTAGTAAACACTGAATAAATATTTGTTGAATGAATGAGGCGTGTCATTAATAATGGCAGGAATTATATTCATTCATTCAATAAATATCTGTTGAGTGTCGACTGTGTGCCAGGCACTGTTCTAGGTGTTGGGGACACATCAGGGAAGAAAATGGGCAAGGTGTGCCCACGCCCAGAGCTTATATTCCAGACTGGGAGTGGTGTAGTGGGAAGTACTCAGGTTTTGGAGTTAGAATGCCTGGATTTGGAGATCCTGCTCTGGTATTTCAATGTAACACTGAACAAATCACTTAATCTCTCTGAGCCTCAGTTTATCCAAGTATAAAATGAGAATTAAAAATACTTATGTCTGGAGTTCATCGTGGGGACTAAATGTGACATTGCATGCATAGTTGGTCTACAGACACTTATGCATCTGTACAAATGTAATTGTCTTTCAGAATATTTGGTGAAGACAGTTAAACACGAAATCAGTACGAATATTTACCCAGGCAAAGTCTATTTATTTTGGGGGGAACAGATGCCACCTTAATGATAAACTGACACCCCCATTCTTGTCCCCATTGACCAGTCGCCTTGAAGGTTCTATGCACTTGGTAGAGTCTTGTACCCTTCTCACAGGGAGGTAGCTGAAGAATGAAATAAGGGCAAGGAGGAGATCCTAAATAAAATGATGGAATGTTGATGACGTTTAGGATTTATCTCCTTTCTGTTTTTAAATCTTAAATACCTCTGGTGTTGGCAAAATTTCCTAGCCACTTTATTGGACATTGCACTGCTCTTCCAGACTAGGTACATTCCAAAGGAACAATTTAAACACGTTAGCTTAGAGGCAAAAGTGAAACAAGGGCCTTCAAACCCCCAAAGGAAAAGAGTTCTGTTTTGATCATTAATGCATCAGCAAACGTGTGCAATATCAGAAGCACAGCCCTGGGAGGCAGATACAGTAGAGAAGGCATTGGGATGACACGCCTCCATCCTTCTCCCCCAGGCGAATAGGTCAGTAAAATAAGCAGACATTTTCATTACGTACTTTATCAGATTCTAAGGAAATGAACTTGAATCCTCTCATATTGTTTCCTCAAACTTGCCGAAGTTAATGAGACTTTTAACTCTGTAATCTTCCTCCCTAAACTCATAACGCCAGTCTAATCCTGAGAAAAAAAGGACAACTCTCAATGGAGGTAAGCCCTACAAAATGTCTGACCAGGACTCCTCAAAACTGTCAAGGTCATCAAAAACAATGTCACAGCCAAGAGGAGCCTAAGGAGACATGACAACTAAATGTGATATGGTGTCTTGGATGGGATCCTAAAACAGAAAAAGGACATTAGGTAACAGCTAAGAAAATCTGAATAAAGATAGCCTTTAGTTAATAATAATATTATAAATGTTGGTTCATTCATTATAATAAATGCATCATACGAATGTAAGATAAGAGGGGAAACTGGGTGTGGGTTCTATGGGAACTCACTGTACTATCGTCTCAATTCTTCTATAAATCTAAAGCTATTTTTTTAAGCAACCATAAGTTACAGCGTAAATTGCATAAGAGAAACAACTTACCAGACGTCACTTTTTCTGCTTCAGCTCCAGGATTCCCAAAAGAAGACAGTGGCAGCTTCTTTGCCTTGGTCTCGGTATGTGGAACCAGCCGGGATATAGAGCCCTTTGTAGCCACAGTCACAAAGCCACATTTACCAATAAGCAGAAGTGAAACTAATTTGTCATCTGAGGGCTATTTATGATGACTTCCCCCCTCAGAAACTGATTCATGCTATTTGCCTCTTTCATTTAAACTTAAATTGTATGTGAACTGGGGCTCTTATATTCTTTCTTCTCTGCCCTATCCCTACAGGTTAGTCATTTTTCCCTTCCAAATAGATTGCAGGATCCATCCTGCAGCATTCTTTCTTTGAGGATGAGAATTATTCAGATGGATCTGACTTACATGAGCAAGAGAGGAAAAATGCCCCCGTCCCAAGAGAGACAAAGTACTCATTTCCCTCCCCCCGCCAAATACAAGACAACTGGGAGAGATGGATAATATGAGATGATGAAGATAAACTGATTCTTGATACACAATCTTGAAATTTACCGAAACCCATACAACATTGGATTGTTTGATTGTAGAAATGTCATACAGTTTTAAATAACTCTTTCTGGAACTTAAATTTTACATCCATATTTAAAAAACAAAACAGAAAAACAAGTATTTTTAAAACGCTGTCCAGGAGAAGAAAGCAGAACCTACTCCACATTGCTATATCTGACAACCCAAAAAATCACATCAAGTACAGGGGAAAAATATGGTTTTTAACCTTCAGCTTCAGGTAGTGTTTGACCCTCAAAGACAGAGTCAGTCATTACTAGGATAACCCTCGGTAACTGTAGGTATGTTTTTAGTCCAAAGTGGGGATTCAGAAAGCAAAAAGGTCAAAAAGAATGTGGTCTTAAAAATTGCTTTGAACTTTTAGCAAGATGGCTGCCTTATCCATAAGAAAACCATAGAAATACCAATATAAAGTTCAAAACAAAGAAAATCAGCGTGAATAACATCGTTAGTGTTGGATCTACTTATCTCTGGGCAAAATCATACCTTATATTCATGACATATGTGCTGAGCTCTCCCTCTACTGGCTGTTTCTCTGCTTCAACAGGTAACTGTATTCTTAATCAGAGGTGCTACTAAAGTACCTAATAACTGACATTAATTTTGGTCCTTTTTTTATATATATAAATTTATTTATTTATTTATGGCTGCGTTGGGTCTTCGTTGCTGTGCGCGGGTTCTCGTTGCGGTGGCTTCTGTTGTTGCAGAGCACGGGCTCTAGGCGCGCGGGCTTCAGTAGCTGTGGTCCGAAGGCTCTAGGGCACAGGCTCAGTAGTTGTGGCACACGGGCTTAGTTGCTCCACGGCATGTAGGATCTTCCCGGACCAGGGATCGAACCCGTGTCTCCTGCATTGGCAGGCGGGCTCCCAACCACTGTGCCACTAGGGAAGCCCAATTTTGGTCCTTTTTAAAGCTGCCTGGGTCCTTGACACCTGCTGTTGGACATCTGAACGCTAGGTCCTGAATGCTCAGTTAGAAGTTTGGGCAAACTACCAGGCTGAATTTTTATTGAACTCACTGGAACCACTGACGCAATTGAAAGAGAACTTCCACAGAGCCCCACCATCACACCCAACCACCTCTCAGGATCTGCATCACCTGCTCCGCCTTCCAGCCTGTAAATGGATGAACTACCTACGCATGTGCCCATCAAAAGCTAATCCCTTCTCATGTGCACCAGATCCCACCCCCTCTCTCCAACCGCAGGACGAGGTACTTTCCCTTCTTCATTCATCAGCTTTTCACTCTCCACTGGATTATTCCCATCGGCACACAAACATGCTGTTATTTATTCCATTTTAACAAACATTCCCTCTGACCCCGGTTTCCCTGCCAGCTACTGTCGCATTTCTCTGTATTTTATGGCGAACCCCCTCAAGAGTTGTGTCTAAACTTACTGTCTCAAGTCTCTCTCCTTTCAATCATCAACCCACTCCAGTCAAGCCTTCACTTCTACCATTCTGTGAAACTGTTCTTGTCAAAGTCCCCGGTGACCCTAGTTAATTTTCAACTCTCCTCTCTTCTTGACCCATCAGCCGCATTTTACCCAGTGGATCACTCCCTCCTCCTTAACACACTTTTTCCACTCGGCTTCCAGGAACCACACTTGCCTAGTTTTCTTCCCAACCTCCCTGGAGGCACCTCCTCAGCCTTCTTTTCTAGTTACTTCTCTTTCCTGCTGATAATAGAATGCCCCAGAGCTTAATCTTTGGTCGCTTTCTTTTCCACGTTCACCCAGTTTCATGGCTTTAAATATCACCTATATGCCCACAACTCTCACTTGATTATCTCCAGCCCCAATCTTTGTCGTGTCTTACTGCTCACTAGGCATCCCAAACCCAATGCATCAAAATTAAGCCCCCCACACTCCCCCCGCAAACCCCACTCCACCTACAATCTTCCCCATTTCAGCTCAGGGCAACTACACAGTTCCAGTCCCTCAGTCCAAAAGCTTCCGTGTCACCCATGATGTTGATGCCTGTCTTTCTCCCACATACCACATCTGGCTGTCGGGAAGTCTTGTTGAAATCTTCCAAGCATATTCAGAATCGGAACACGCCTCACTGCCTCCACTGCTTACTACCCTGATTCAAGTCATAATCATCCCTGGCCTCGTTCAGCGGTTCCCAAACTTTGCTGCATTTTGAAATCACCCAAGGATCTTAAAAAATACTAATGCCTGGCTGCCACCCCCTTGAGATTTTGATTTAATTGGTTTGGGATGTGACCTGGGCACCAGGATTTTTCACTTCTCTCCAGGTGATTCTCATGTGCATCAAAGTTTGGGAATCCCCGGCATAGGTATGCTAACAGCCACCTAACTGATCTCCCTACTTCTACCCTTCCTCCCTACAGTCCATTCTCAACACAGCAAATAGAGGTACTTTTAAATTATAAATCAGATTATATCTCTGCTAAAAACTCTCCAATGGCTCCTCATGTGCCGAGTAAAAGGCAAAGGCTTTACACTGGCCTACAAGGTCTTACCTGAGCTGCAGTGTCCCCCATTGCACCCCATCACTTCTCTGACCTCTATTACACTTCCCCTGGTTCACTGCTCAACTGACAGCGGCCTCCTTACTTTCCTTGAATACACCAGGCATCCTCTCTCCCTAGGACCGTTGCTCTAAGTGTTCCCTCTGTCTGAAATACTCTTCCCCCAGATATCTGCATATCAAATATTAGCTCAAATACTACATTTCCAATTATCAGTTAAAATCTACAAATGTACTACCCATCTCTTTCTCTTGTGTGAGGTAAAAGAGTGATGAGGTAGAGGATGGTGTCTTCATTTTAAGGAAGATTGGGGAAAGAACAGAACTGAAGTAAAAGCAGAGTTCCTTTTGGGACATGTTAAGTTTCCAATACATATCAGACATGCAGATCTAACAAGATGTCAAATAGGGAAGAAGTTGGAGTTGGACTATAAAAATGGGATCAGACAGATGGTGTTTAAAAGCTCTGGTACTCTGGGGATCACGTTGGGGAAGACAAGGCTGAGAAGTGACCCCTCTGGTACACCAATATTTTGAGATGATATACAGGATTGAGAAAAAGCAGAAGAAAAACTCAGAGTGTGGAGGGTCCTATCATAAAAGACTTCCTAAGTAGCTAACTTATGTCACTTGGTACTAGGATGACAATAAGAACACATAAATGCTACTGAATTTGTCCTGCTGGGCAGTCAAAAGACCAGGACAGTTTCAGTGTCATGGTGAGGTCAAAGACTTGAGGTACCTCAGTTCTAGTGGAAAGTAAGCAATTGGAAACAGCACAGATTCCTGTCTTTATTAACGAGCGGCGTTCTTAATTTCTGGTCCATGAACAAAGGAGATCATGGATGGGTTTCAGGAAAACATGATTCCAAGTCCTGCCTGCAAACACTACAAAACTTTGTGCGTGTGTGCGTTTTTCTGGAGAGACCTCCAGAGCTTTCATGATGGTTATTGATAACGCGCCATTCATCTGAGACCAGGGGGATCCACTGGCGTCAGAGCCTGAACCTCAGATCGTTACTTGATTCCTGCATGGTCTCTTCCAGGCTCTGAATCTAGTTTCCCGCGATCCCCACTCACGTTCCCGCCCAGCCACCCTGGGCGCAACGCACCCTGGGCTCCTCCACCTTTATTTAGAGACCACCCACATCCACCCTCTTATCTAGGTTTCCTGGCACAGCCTCTGTCCATAAGCTCTGTCCTGTCGCTGTGCTGCCCAGATCGCGGTTTCTAATGCCCAAGCTGCCCTTAGGGAACCCTACAACCCTTAGACTCCAGCCTGCTTCGCCCGGGCCGCAGCTTTGCCCCGCCTCCTGGAGCTCTGCGAGCAGCTGCAGGGAAGCTGGGCGGACCCTTGCGCGCGCTGTCTTCTGGGAACAGCTTTACGATAGATTGATCGTCATTTTACGACAGGACAGGGTTGCTTTGTGGCTGTTAATTTTCCCAGAGGTCCGAGTGGGTAGCGCTACATTGTCTGGGGTGGCGGCTGCTACGACAGCGGAGAGATGAGGCAGAAGCGGAAAGGTGCGATAAGGGAGGGGGAGCGGGGCGGTGGTAGGGAAGGGGCGAACCCCGGGTCCTCAGATACTGAAGCCAGTTTTTCCCGCGGGAATCCGCTACCTCATCCAGTCTCCCCAGCCACCTGTGGTCTGTCTGTGGCCTCCAGCCCCCTGCTTTCTCCTTTCACCTGTTGTGTTTTTTGAACCAGCTTATCCTTACTCTTCCTTTTTGGCAGTCACTTGGTGTCTTTTGCATAAAGGACAAAAGCTCTAGTCCAAGGTATACCCTCCAAGAAGTTAACGTGGTCGGTGGACTTAACACGTTCTCGGACTCTTAATTTGCTAAGATTCGTTTAACGACACATTTCACGTGCTTTTTTATCTGAGATTGTTTTAAAGCTCAAAGTTAAAAAAAGAAAGAAAACCACTGAATTATTCTTGGATTCTGTGGGGGCAGTTAGGCAGCCATTCCCGTTTGTATTACCTCCTGAGTTAGCGTGGAGCAATTCCACCTTTAGTTTTTCAGCCGAATGGAGTCAAATTTCAAGTATTTTCTCACAGGTGCTAGTGTTATCTCTGTAAGCTCAATTGAGCAGTCGGTCTAATAATAGTGATGGGTATGATAACTATGGCTGCCATCTGTTGAGCCTTTGCTAATAATTCTTAGGCTGATATCGTTGCCTTTTCACAAATGAAGAAGCCGAGATTAAAAGAGTTGAGTAACTTTCCTAGCCCAGAAGTGGTTTGTCGGGCTGTCTCTATGAACCCCAAAAACATAAAATTAAAAAAAAAAATCTGTTCCTTAATCACTGTGCCTCTTGGCATCAACTGCTCCAAGTGTCCAAGTTACCTTCAGTTGTTTTGTGGCATCAAATTCTACATGCCCCTAATTGATTAGTTATCTTCTCCCTCTAAGTTGCTCCTCCATCTCCAGCTTTAAACTTTTGACTTTATTTATCACCAAGTCCTGTTAGTTCTTATAGAAATTGCTTCTTGAAATAGTTTATTCCTCATCATTCTAGCCACTATCCCCCTAACCCACCTTCATTAAGAACTGATATTTGAATAATACTTTGGCTTTCATATATACATTACTTTTGTTGATTCTTACTGAATCTTGTGAAAGATATGTATGGATTATCCTAATTCTGCAGACAAGGAAGTGGGAGCTCAGAAGCCATTCATCTTCCCATTATCACACAGCCAGTAGGGTTTGGAAGCTAGAGACTGAGTCTGTCATCCAAGTTTTTTACTGTAAATCTGTTTTGTTTTATTTTTTAACAATGTTGCCTTTCAAGAGCCTTTTACTTAGTATCCAGAGGATGTGTATTCTTTTCATCTTCTGAATCATTTTTTGTATCCTCTTTTTCTTTAGTATATTTTGTATACAGTTGACCCTTGAACAATGGAGGGGGGTGGTCGGGGGCACTGACCCCTGCACAGTTGAAATTCTGAGTGTTGCTATCTCTGCCTGAAAAACAAAGGAAGTGATAAATGACTCACCAAAGGGCAGGAAGCTGAAACAGTTTGGATAGAATCAGGACTCAGATCCTCAAACACAGACTTTTCCCCACACTTAGTTAATTTAAGGATCTGTAAAATAAAAATACAGGTACTGTATTTATTTGAAAAAATCTGCATATAAGTAGACTTGTGCAGTTCAAGCCAGTGTTCAAGGATAAATCTGTACTTATTTTCTTTCAACACTACTTTCATCTTTTTACTCCCAAACTTGAGCACATATAATTCTCCACTGTGTATTGCATCCTATTTAAATGCCTTTGCCTTGTAGCCAGTGTACCCTGTAATCTGTTCTTACTGAACCCTGTCAAAAAGCCTCTATTGTAGTTAGGCAGTACTCCTGCACATAAAGATGATAGGCAATTCCTATACCTAACATTGTTCCTTCTGGATTGCCCTCTGTTTTGCTTGTCCAGATCCTGCCCTTTAAAGATCCCTGTGTGATTTCCTCCACGAAGCCTTTTCTTACTAATTTACTTCTCTGGTTAATTCTTGATATACTCAAGGGCTATACAAGTGTTTTAAAAATCTTTGTCTTCACGCATACCTCGTTTTATTGCACTTAGCTTTAGTGCACTTCACAGATACTGTGTTTTTTACAAATTGAAGATTTGTAGCAACCTGTTTGAGCAAGTCTATCAGCTCCATTTTTCCAACAGCATTTTTGCTCACTTCATGTCTCTCATTTTGGTAATTCCTGCAATATTTCAAACTTTTTCATTATTGTTATGTTTATTATGGTGATCAGTGATCTTTGATGTTACTCTTGTAATTGTTTTGGGGCCCCACAAATTGCCACATAAGACGATGAACTTCAATTGATAAATGTTACGTGTGTTCTGACTGCTCTACCTGTTGACCATTTCCCCATCTCTCTCCCTCCCCTCAGCCTTCCCTATTAAGACAGCGATATTGAAGTGAGGCCAATTAGTAACCCTACAGTGGCCTCTAAGGGTTCAAGTAAAAGGAACAGTCGTACATCTCTCACTTTAAATCAATAGCTAGAAATGATTAAGCTTAGTGAGGAAGGCATGTCGAAAACTGAGGTAGGCTGAATGCTAGGCCTCTTACACCAGTTAGCCAAGTTGTGAACACAAAGTTCTTGAAGGAAATTGAAGATTATACTGTATTGGACACATGAATGATAAGAAAGCAAAACAGCCTTATTACTGATATGGAGAAGGTTTTAGTAACCTGCATAGAAGATCAACCAGCCGCATTTCCTTAAGCCAAAGCCTAATCCAGAACAAGGCCCTAACTTTAATTCTTTGAAGGCTGAGAGAGTTGAGGAAGCTGCAGAAGAAAAGGTTGAAGCTAGCGGGGGTCAGTTCATGATGCTTAAGGAAAGAAGCCATCTCCATAGCATAAAAATGCAAGGCAAAGCCCCAGGTGCTGATGGAGAAGCTGCAGCAAGTTATCCAGAAGGTCTAGCTAAGATAATTAGTGAAGGTGGCTGCACTAAACAACAGATTTTCAATGTAGACAGAACAGCCTTATATTGGAAGAAGATGCCATCTAGGACTTTCATAACTAGAGAGAAGTCAGTGCCTGGCTTCAAAGCCTCAGAGGACAGGCTGACTCTCTTGTTAGGGGCTAATGCAGCTGGTGACTTTTAAGTTGAAGCTAATGTTCATTTAACCATTCTGAATTATGCTGAATCTACTCTGCCTGTGCTCTCTAAATGGAACAAAGCCTGGATGGCAGCCCATCTGTTTCCAACATGGTTTACTGATTATTTTAACCCCGCTGTTGAGAGCAGATTGCTTTCAAAATATTACTGCTCATTGTTAATGTACCTAGTCACCCAAGAGCCCTGATGGAGACGTACAAGATTAACGTTTTCATGGCTGCTGACACAACATCCATTGCGCAGCCTGATCAAGGAGTCATTTCGACTCTCAAGTCTTATTATTTAAGAAATAACATTTTGTAAGGCTGTAGCTGCCGTAGATAGTGATTCCTCTGATGGACCTGGGCAAAGTCAGTTGAAAACCTACTTGGAAAGGATTCACCATTCTAGATGCCATTAAGAACATTCATGATTCATGGGAAGAGGTCAAAATATCAACATTAATAGGAATTTGAAAGAAGTTGATTCCAGGCCTCATGGATGACTTTGAGGGGTTTAAGACTTGAGTGGAGGAAGTAGCTGCAGATGTGGTGGAAACAGAACTAGAATTGAAAGTGGAGCCTGAAGATGGGACTGAATTGCCACAATCTCACGATGAAACGAATGGATGAGGAGTTGCTTCTTACGGATGAGCAAAGAAAGTGGTTTTTTGAGATGGAATCTACTCCCGGTGAAGATGCTGCGAAGATTGTTGAAACTACAATAAAAAATGTAGACTATTAGGTTAAACCTAGTTAAACCAGCAGCAGTAGGGTTTGAGAGGATTGACTCCAGTTTTGAAAGTTCTGTGGGTACAGTGCTGTCGCCTGCTACAGAGAAATCGTTCATGAAAGGAAGAGTCAACGGATGAGGCACACTTCACTGTGGTCTTATTTTAAGAAATCGCCACGGCCACCCAGCCTTCAGCAGCCACCACCCTGATCAGTTTGGTAGCTAACATCGAGGCAGGACTCTCCACCAGCAACAAGATTATGATTTGCTGAAGGCTCAGATGATGGTTAGCATTGTTTAGCAATAAGGTATTTTTTAATGTATTTTTTTAAGGCATAATGCTCTTGCACACTTAACAGACTGCAGTACAGTGTAAACATAGCTTTTATATGCACTGGGAAACCAAAAACATTCGTGTGACTTGCTTTATTGCAGTATTTATTGTGATGGTCTGGAACCGAACCTGCAGTATCTCTGAGGTCTGCCTGTATTTTTATCACCCGAATCACCTTTTCTCCAAATTCTTATGTAGAACTTCAGCATATAAACAGATGAAAGCCCAGTGGCTTTGGTTGAAATGGAGAAAGAGACCCTCCCTCTCCCTCCCTTCCTCCTTTACCTTAATCACCACCAGCCCGACCTGTTACATGGCCCCTCAGGCACCTTTGTAGAACTCTGAAGGTCTGAGTTACATGGTTTAGAAAGCACTTAAGCCTTTGACTATAGATGGACTTCTTTTTCTCTCAGATTGTTTTGTATGTGTTAGCTTTACCTCATTAAATTAGATGTGGCTTGGTACAGTGGTTAAAAGCATGTAAGTTGCGGAGAAAAGACCTGGATTTGAGTCTTAACTATGCCCTTTACAATTATGTCTTAACTAGCCTTAACTTTTCACATCTGTGAAATGTGGTAACAATACCTACCTTCCAGTGTTGTGAGGTTTCAAATGAGATAAATGAAAGGGCTCCATGAGCGCCAGGGCTTTCTCATCTGTGTTTCTCTCTGATGACATCATTATCTTTGCACACCAGCTTTCTCTGCAGGCAGGAGGCTAGTAGCTAGTAGCTCCCAAGCTGAAATCTCACAACTTTTTATCACTGGAGAGGGACTGGTGTCTTTTGCTTTGAGAAAAAGAGCTCAGATTTGCCCGACCTGGATAGGTGCCCATCCTTGAACCAGTCAGCTTTAACTGGGGCGATGGGGTCATGTAAGAACATGTCAGCTTCTGCTGTTGCCTTTTAGAGGAGAAGGGCGGCCTCAGTTGCCAGGAGAATGTTACGATGGCGGACAGACTATATTTTACAGATGTGTTAAGATCCCTAGGCACGCACAGACCCATGTCTTTGTATTTCAAAATAGTACTACATTGCTTTGTATTTCAAAATAGTATTAACATTACTTCTGCGGATACCTGGGTTTGAGTTTCAACTTCACCCCTTGGTAGCATTTTTATGGGACAGGCAAATATTCTTGTTCCATCTACCTCACTGTGTTCTGAGAATCAGATGAAATAATGCATCTAAATGTAATTATCAATCTGGAGATAAAGGGAAGCTACTTTAACTATGATCCTTTCCTGTGTGATTAGGTTCTTTTTCCTCATGTCTGTCTCTACTCTTTCCTGCATCTATTATTCTTGAGGTGTATATGCTTCTAAAGTGAACTCTTCCCATATATAGGTGAAGCCAGGTTGGTTTTAAAATTAAAGATATAAAATATATGATCAAATTGTAAACAATAGTGTCTTGTGTACTTGAGCTATCATTTTGACATGATTGGAATGATTTTGGAAGACACTCCTAATACAAAAACCTTTACTGAATAATATGATTTTTTTAGTGTCAAATATTATCTTTTCAGGAGATCTCAGCCCTGCTGAGCTGATGATGCTGACCATAGGAGATGTTATTAAACAACTAATTGAAGCCCACGAACAGGGGAAAGACATCGATCTAAATAAGTAAGTGTATCTGTAAAAAAGAAGGTGATCTTGTTCTTGGGTAGTAGATCTCTTTTATGAAATTATCAGACACTACTGGTTCTATCTCATGTTTCATGTTTTAGTTGAGAATTTAGCTTTCTTCCCTGCCCTATAGATTATTTATGGCAAAATTGCCTTATAGCCTTATAATACTAATAGTTTCTAACATTCCTTGGGCGCTTACGGTATTCCGGTCGCTGTTAGTAGTACGTTATATGTGTTGGCTCAGCTGATCCTCTCAAACACTATATGAGGTAGGTATTTACCTCACTTGACAGATGGGTCCTCTTAGAGAAAGGTTAAATAATTTGTTCAGGAGTAAATAACTGGTGATTGGCAGAGCTGGGATTTAGAATCAGGTCATCCATCTCCAGAGCCCAGGTGCTGTCCTTCTGTGCCATCTCATTTCACATCCTTCCTCTCTTCCTGGTCGTCTCAGAGAGGTGGTAGCTCTCTTCCAGGGAAGCCCTCTCTTTGGGGCCTTTGATCAAATCCAACCTTTCCCTACTTCAGAACCTCCTGGACACGTTCATCCACTTCCTCTCCACAACCATGTTCAGCTTTGACTTGGCTACATCCTCAAATAAGAGTGGTTTTTCCTCTCTGCATCTGCTTATTTACTATATATTTGTCATACAGATCTGCTGTAATGAAAGGGTTCTCCCCCCATCCCCAGGTCATCAATGGTCTAGTCATTACGCACATGACCTTATTTTGGACCCTGTCTTCTGTTACTTGAGATACTACGATGTTATACCCCTTCCTTGGAACATTGTGCTTGATAAACATTTGCTAAGGAATAAATTAATAACTATTCTTTTATACCATGAAGACATTATATTTTATTGGTTTTTCTACCATGTGTTTAGCAGTGGGGTTTTTTTCCTCATCTTTGTTGGCTATACCCCAATTATACAAATCTTTTGTTTCTCATGAACATTTCTACTTCTTGTATATTTTTGTCATTCTCTTTAATTTAGCACATCTAAAGCTAAAGCTAGCATCTTCTTTAAAACCAGCCCCTACTCAAGATGTCCTCTTTGCCTAATTGTTTTAACCTTCACCCAGGTTTGAAACTGTAGTGTCGTCTTTGAATCTTTTCCCTTAGGTCCACTTAGAGTCAAAATTTTGCCTACTGTTTCTTCATTATAACTCTTTAATGTTCACCACCAACTTCCTCTTCCATTCCTTTTTAAACTTAAGTCTAGACTCCTGCAGTAGTTTATGCTTTCAGTTCTTTTTACTGTCTTGCTGGATTAATTTTCCTTCGTCATGTCCCTGTGCGGGAACTTTCAGCACATTCCCAGTGCTTGTGGAATTAAACGCAGATTCCCCAGCCCATTATGTAAGGCCTCTCGGTGTGGCTTCAACTTACTTTTCCAACTTTTTAAACTTCTGTATCTTCATATTGAAAACCTTCTGCTTTCTGTTAAGTTGGTCTACTCATATTTCTTAAAATCTGTACCATCCTGTTTTTGCATCTTCACATAAGCCAGCCTGTCTGCTCTCAGTGTCATCTCTGTGTCTTTATTGCCTGTCTGAAGCCTGTCTTTTTTCTGTGCCCGTTTTCTTTGAATATCTCCCCAGCACACACTGAGTTCCTCTCTTGAGCTCTGGAATCATTCATTGTTGTGTGTGTGTTTTATTATTGATACATATGTTTTTATTACTTGTAGATTTATTTTTGTGCATGCCTGTCTGCAAACATGCGAACATAGAGCACGAAACAGCTATGCCTTGCAACCTCCTGACGTACCAAGTACTTAGGTAGTCTCTTGTACCTATCAGGTACTCAGTAACCATTTGTTGAAATGATTTGAACACCCCATAATATTTCTAGATGGATTAAAGTGAGAAGATAAAGTGACTATTAGGATTTGGTTAGCAGCCACAAAGAAAAGAAAAATTGCTAAATTATAGAGGAAAGCGAGGAATTATTAGTTGGAATAAAGGTTACGTCTGGGGGTTAGGGATAGGGTTATGGTCAGGAAGGGGCAAACGGGTCTTCTGAAGTGCTGATCATATTCTCGGAATGTGGTTACAAGAGTGATTGTTTTATAATTGTTAGAGTATATTTATATGTTTTATTCTGTTCTTTATATAATATTTTGAATTAGAAAAAGTTTTAAAACTTTTAAAGCTTTAAAAATATATCTACTTTATTTCCTATTTGGTTCTGCATAGCTTTGCTTTAAATTGTTTTGTTTTGTTTTGTTGGCCTGAGGCAGTGCTTTGCAACCAGGCATGACCATCCCCACCCCCAAGTCATTTGGCAATGTCTGGAGACATTTTTGGTTGTTACAACGGGAAGAGGTGCCAGTGGGTAGAGGCCAAGGATGCTGCTAAACCTCCTACAATGTACTGAACAATCCCCCACAACAGAATTAATCTGATCCCAAATGTAGTAGTGTGGAAGCTGAGAAAAGGGTAGAATCCTTCGAAGCTGGAGCACTACTTTGAACGAGACCTACCTTGTATCACTGTCCTGGGCCCCCGCCCTGTAGTCATCTGGTTTTCTTCCTGGTACTCTGGAGAAAAGGAAGTCATGAATTTTGTTCTAGCTCCCTGATAATTACAAATGTTAAAACCACTGTTGTCATCTGGTGAAAGGAGTTGATGATGTTATTTATAGGTTATCCTTTTGGTAGCTTGTCCTTGAAATACTGTGATCTTGATAATGCTAGATGCTTTACTTTCAGGGTGAAAACCAGGACAGCTGCCAAATATGGCCTTTCAGCACAGCCCCGCCTGGTGGATATCATTGCTGCAGTCCCACCTCAGTATCGAAAGGTCTTGGTCCCCAAGTTAAAGGCAAAACCCATCAGAACTGCCAGTGGGGTGAGTGATTCAGTTCATCAAAGATTGATTGTGTATCTGTTCCACCACAGATCCCTGCCTCCATGTAACACCCAGGTAGTGAGGTGGAAGTGGGGGATTTGGACTAATAAAATCCATATGCTATGGTGTGTGCTGGAGTGGAGACACGTGCAGAATGCTAGGAGGGCACAGAGGGGAAAAGGTCACTGTTCTTAGAGGAGTAGATAATGTTTTGGTTTTTGGTGTCTTTAAAAGTATAGCTAGATGCTTGGTGACTATCATAAGATGACCAATATTGTTGGCCATCTTAAGCTTGTGGCTTATAAGATTGATACTTATAAAAGGTATTTTGAAAAGTTAAATTGATAGTGCAAAGTCGTTCTGTTAATATATATGGTAATTGTGAAACAGTTGACACCATAGGGAGTGATATGGGAGTCCAGAGGACAGAGATGTCCCTGCAGTAAAAGGGACTAAGGAAAGCCCAAGAGGAAGCGTGGAGCTTGACTAACATATAAATGGCACCCATACAAGCAGAGAAGAGCAGGTTCAAAGAGTAATGGGAGCAAGGACCCAGAAACTAGGGCACAGAGGTAGAGATGATGTAAGAGGTGTGTGTGCAGGGAACCACGAGTGTACCAGACTCACTGGGGCTGACAATTCATTTTGGAAAGCAGCAGGACATTGGGGGGGAAGAGTTAGTGTGAGATCCACTTGTAAAAGATCTTAAATGTCCTGCAAAATAGCCAGATAATAGGAAACTGAAAGATTTTTGAGAAGGGGAGTGATGGGAACCAGATAGATTTTCAGAAAATTAATTTGCATACAAGTTGTAGGGTAGCTTGGAGCCAAAAGGACCAGTTGGGATACTCTTGATTTGACCTAGGTGTGAAGTGTTAAGAGCCTCAGTCAAGGTAGGGCCTCCAGGATAAAAAGGATGAGTGTGAAAGACATGAGGGAAGAATTGATAGTATTTAGCCCCTCTTAAAACATGGTACCCAAGCGAATGCTGTGTTCCTGATGTGATCTAAGAAGCTCAGTCTGTTGTTTGGATGGGGATATTGTACTTCTAGTAAATGCAGCTTATAATGACTTGCTGGGTAGCTGTATCTCCTGGATCATATATTTGTGACTAATTAAACCCCAGACCTTTCACACACAGTGTACCACCTATCCTAGTCTCTTCTCCTTTGAACTTAAGTGTTTGGGGTTTGTTTGTTTGTACCTAGTATAAAAGACTCTTTCAGAAAAACGAATAGGTCCAAACCCCTCACCTCCCATTCTCCCCCGACTGTTCCCCCAGGGCAACCACTTTTAGGTCTTAGCTGATTTCTTGGCATTTACTTCCATATCCCTAAATAACGTGCTTTATGGGTAAGTCTTGGATTTTCAGTTTTCAGCATTGTGTGTGGGCTTGCCACCATGGAGACAAAGGTTTAGCAATGTTTCAACCTGACAAATGCACTTGGCTTTCATAATTCCATTCTCTCTGTCTTCCTCCTACCTCGGATCATTTCTTTCTTTGACAGCTACTCTTGTTCTGCTTCCATCTAAAAATTGATTTTTCTGTGGTCCTGGGCCAACTGCTTTTAGTGCCATGCATGCTTTCTTTGGTGATCTCATCCATTGATGTTTTTAAGTTTTGCCATATGCTGACTCGTAGCTCCGACTTCTCCCCAAGCTTCATATCCATGTCAAATTGCCTGTTAGACATTTCTCCTTTGATTGCCTGTAAGTATACCCTTAAGTATAGCATAACCAAAACCTCAGACTTGCTCACCCATCTTCCTTGTCCACCTTAGCTAATGGTGCCCCCGTCCACTCAGTTTCTAAAAGATACGAAATGCATTGTCCATTCCTACCACCACTGGGAGGAATGTTTTGGCCTTTATTATTTCTTGTTTAGATTGTTTTACTCATTTCCTAATGGGCCTACTTTGTCTTACCTGCACCAAATCCATTTTCTGCAGTATCACCAGAGTGACTATTAAAAATATCAAAGGAACACAGCTGATTGTCATTCCCTAGCTGCTATGCATCCTAACCTCTGTGCTTTTTAAAAAATTTATTTTACTGAAGTATAGTTGATTTACGGTGTTGTGTTAATTTCTACTGTATGGCAAATGTATGATTAAGTTATACACATATATACATTTTTCATATTCTTTTCCATTATGGTTTATCACAGGATATTGAATATAGTTCCCTGTGCTCTACAGTAAGACCTTGCTGTTTATCCATTCTATATATAATTGCATCTACTAATCCCAAAATCCCAATCCATCCTTCCCCCACCATGTCTCCCTCTTGGCAACCACAAGTCTGTTCCCTGTGTCTGTGAGTCTGCTTCTGTTTTGTAGATAAGTTCATTTGCGTCATATTTTAGATTTCACGTATATGCAATATCATATATTTATCTGTCTCTTTCTGACTGACTTAGTGTTATAATCTCCAGGTCCATCCATGTTGCTGCAAATGGCATTATTTCATTATTTTTTATGGCTAATATTCTGCTGTTTATATGTACCACATCTTCTTTATCCATTCATCTGTTGATGGACATTTAGGTCGTTTCCATGTCTTGGCTATTGTAAATAGTGCTGCAATGAACATTGGAGTGCATGTATCTCTTTGAATTATAGTTTTCTCCAGATATATGCCCACTAACCTCCATGCTTTTACTTCTGCTGTTACTGTAGTGCTTTATATTTTTTTATAGAGCAGCTTTAGGCTTACAGAAAAATTGAGCAGAAAACACAGAGAGTTCCCATATACTTCCTCTCCCCCTTCCCCAGGTTGCCCTATTATTAATACCTTGCATTGGTTTGACACATTTGTTATAATTGATGAACCAATATTGCTATCTTCTTATTAACCAAAGCCTGTAGTTTACATTGGGGTCACTCACAGTGTTGTACATTCTGTCGGTTTTACCAAATGCATAATTTCACGTATCCATCGTTACAGTATCATATGGAATAGTTTCACTGTCCTAAAACTCCCCTCATCATTTCCTCTGTTTCATACCTCTCACAACTACTGATCTATTTACTGTTTCTGTAGTTTTGCCTTTCCTAGAATGGTATATAGTTGGAATCAGTATGTTTTGTAGCCTTTTCATATTGGCTTCTGTTACTTTGCAGTGGGCATTTAAGGTTATGCCATGTCCTATTAGTGGCTTGATAGCTCATTTCTTTTTAGCACTGAATAATATTCCATTGTCTGAGTGTGCCACAATTTGTTTATCCACACACCTATTGAAGGACATCTTCGTTGCTTCCAATTTTTGGCAATTATAATGGACAAAGCTGCGATAAACATTTGTTTGAAGGTTTTTGCATACACAAAAGTTTTCAAACTTATTTGGGTAAATAAATACCTAGGAGCATGATTGCTGGATCATATGGTCAGACTACGTTTAGCTTTGTTAGAAATTGCCAAACTGTCTTCCAAAGTGGCTGCACTGTTTTGCATTCCATCAACAGTAACTGAGAGTTCCTATTGCTCCACAAGCTCATCAGCATTTGGTGTTGTCAGTGCTCTGGATTTTGCCCATTCTGTTAGGTATGTAGTGATATCTCATTGCTTTAATTTGCAATTCCTGAATGACATACGATGTTGAGTATCTTCTCATATACTTATTTTGCCTTTAGTGCATCCTCTTTGGTGAAGTGTCTCTTCACATCTTTTGCCCTATTCCTAATTGGGTTGTTTGGGTTTTTTATTGTGAAGTTTTAAGGATTTTTTTTTAATAGTTAAGATACGTGTCTTTTATCAGACATGTGTTTTGTAAATATTTTCTCCCAGTCTGTGGCATACCTTTTTAGTATACTTAAGTCTATGATCCATTTTGAGTCTGTTTGTATTTGAGTTTTTGTTTGTTTTGTTGGGTTTTTTGCTTTGAAAATCATTTTTATTATTCAGAGTAGTATCATTACTCATTGCAACAGTAGTGACCATATGTTGCCCACCTGTTACATACCAGCCACTGCACTGGTGTGTTTTCTAATTTAATCCTCAAAACTGTTTTGAGGGTAGGTAGTATTGTCTTCATTTTACAAAACAGGAAAATACACAGTAAGAGGTAGATAAAAGATTCAAAGGTTCATCTCTCTGGCTGACTCCAAAGTCATAGCTTTTTCTACCTTATCAGTAATCTTTAAGCTGTATTCTACAAAACGACAGGATCCGTATAAGTGTTTTAGGAGCTACTGTGGGGAATAATAGGGAAGCCGTGGGAGCAGGCCCCATCTCTACTTCACCCAGGGCTGTTGCTTTTCTCTCTTCTGTAAGTTGATGTTGTAAGTAAAACATTACTTGAAGGGAGAGTTCAGCCACTTAAAAAATGCTTGAAAACTCCTGCACATTGCTTCCCTGGTCCCCACGTCCCTCTGCCTTCTTAGCTCAGTTAACTCTTACTCAGCATGGCTGTCAACCCCTTAGGAAGGCTTCCCTGACGCCGCTGGTCAGGGCTAATTAATCCCCTTCTTTGGGCATCCCTAGTATTTTCTTTTACCACATGCTTCTTACCATGTGGTTTTGAAATAGCCTATTTCTCTATGTCCTCCTCCCCTGCTAGCTTGTATGATTTCAGAGGACAGAGGCAGTGCATTACTATTTTTTTAGTCTTAGGGCCCACCTGCTCTGTGTAGCTCAGAACCTGGCCTATATTGTAGGCCCTCAATAAAAGATTGGGAAATTAGATTGACCTCATCAGTGGTATACATATACCACTTGTGTCTCATTTTAAATACAAACATTTGTTTGAAAATCTAAGTTTTTAATTCAGATTTGCAATTTTTTTTTTTTTGCGGTACACGGGCCTCTCACTGTTGTGGCCGCTCCCGTTGTGGAGCACAGGCTCCGGACGCGCAGGCTCAGCGGCCATGGCTCACAGGCCCAGCCGCTCCGTGGCATGTGGGGTCTTCCCGGACCAGGACACGAACCCGTGTCCCCTGCATCAGCAGGCGGACTCTCAACCACTGTGCCACCAGGGAAGCTCTTGATTTGCAAAATTATTTATTTTGGAGTTTCTGTAGATCACTAATGATTTAAGTTCAATTTTAATCATTTTTATTATTAAAAAATAATCACAGACTTACAGAAAAGTTGAAAATCCACTACAAAGAACACTTTATCCCTGAGGCATTTGAGAGTAAGGTGCAAAGCCAATGCCTTTGAATACTTTAGTGTGTACTTCCTACAAACAAGACCATTTTCTTACATCAGCACAATACAGCCATCAAAATCAGAAATTTAACACTGATACATTATCATCATCTAGTCCTCAGACCTCATTCAAGTTTCTAATGGTGTGTCAGTAATGACCTACAGGACCCAGTTCAGAATCACGTGCTGTGTTTAGTTGTCATGGCTTTTTAGTCTGGACACTTCCCTGTCTTTCCTTTACTTCATTACCTTAACACTTTTGAAGATTTCAGGCAAGTTGTTTTGTAGCATCTCCCTCAATTTGGTTTAATCAGATGTGTCCTCATAATTAGATTTGGGTTTGCATGTCTGGCAGGAACATCACAGAAGTGATACTGTGTTCTTATATCCTGTCAGGTGGTGCATAGTTTGTTGTCCTGTCACTGATGTTGTCTTTGATCAAGGTGATGTCTGCTCGGCGTCCCCTTTGTAAAGTTATTCTTTTCCACTTTGTAATTAAGAAGTTTTGTGTGGTGAAGTACTTTTTTTTTTTTTAATTTTATTTATTATTTATTTATTTGGGGCTGTGTTGGGTCTTCGTTTCTGTGCGAGGGCTTTCTCCAGTTGCGGCGAGCAGGGGCCACTCTTCATCGCGGTGCACGGGCCTCTCACTGTCGTGGCCTCTCTTGTTGCGGAGCACAAGCTCCAGATGTGCAGGCTCAGCAGTTGTGGCTCACGGGCCCAGTTGCTCCGCGGCATGTGGGACCCTCCCAGACCAGGGCTCAAACCCGTGTCCCCTGCATCGGCAGGCAGGCTTTCAACCACTGCGCCACCAGGGAAGCCCGGTGAAGTACTTTGAAACTATGCAAATATCCTGTTCCTTATCAGACTTCCAGTCTCCTCATTCATTTGTGTGACTGGATTAAATGGTTTCCTGTTTGGTGGGTTATAATCTGTTCTATCATTTTTTATTTTGATGTACAAATTTTCCCAGTTTTGACCAGTAGGAGCCCTTTCAAGCTGGTTTCTGTTTCTTTTTTAAATGTCCCCATCATTCTTTGGGCAGTTTCTAGCTTTCAGTCATAATAAAATGTTCCAGGCTCATCTTGTACTTTCTTTACCCCAGCCCTGGAATCAGCTGTTTCTCCAAGGAGCCCTGGTTTCTTTTAGTGGAGAAGAATATTTAGAAACAAAGATCTGAGTGCTAGATGTGCTCAGTGCCGTTAGGGTGTTGCTGCTCCCAGACCCTCTCCGTGGACCAAACTAGGAAATATATATGTACATATGTGCACACACATATACATAAAACATTTGCATCTATATTTGTGTGTGTGTACTGTGAGTCCACAACAGTACCTTTAATTTCGTCCAACCCACAGAGTTCATTCTAGTTCTCTCCCTTTGCATATTTTAACTTTCTTCTCTGAGGTACCACCTCACACCGGTCAGAATGGCCATGATTAAAAAGTCATTACAAATAACAGATGCTGGAGAGGGGATGGAGAAAAAGGAGCCCTCCTACATTGTTGGTGGGAACGTAAATTGTGCAGCTGCTATAGCAAACAGTATGGAGGTTCCTCAGAAAACTAAAAATAGAGTTGCCATATGATCCAGCAGTCCCACTCCTGGGTATGTATCTGGATAAAACTATTGATATAATTCAAAAAGATACATGCACCCCTATGTTCATAGCAGCCAAGACACGGACACAACCTAAATGTCCATTGACAGATGAATGGATAAAGAAGATGTAGTACATATATACAATGGAATACTACTCAGCCATAAAAAAGAATGAAATAACGCCATTTACAGCAACATGGTAAGTAAAGTAAGTCAGAAAAAGAAACACAAATACCATATGATATCACTTATATGTGGAATCTAAACTATGATACAAATGAACATATCTACAAAACAGAAACAGACTCACAGACATAGAGAACAGACTTGTGGTTGCCATGGGGGAGCGGGGTTGGGGAGGAATGGATTGGGAGTTTGGGGCTAGCAGATGTAAACTATTTTATATAGGATGGATAAACAACAAGGTCCTACTGTATAGCACAGGGAACTATATTCAGTATCCTGTGATAAACCATATGGAAGAGAATATGAAAAAGAATGTATATATGTGTATAACTGAATCAGTTTTTTGTAGACAGAAATTAACACAACATCATAAATCAACTATACTTCAATAAAATAAATTAAAAAATCATAACTTTCTTCTCTGACAGTAAGAAATCTGGCTTGCATTCATCTTAGCGTATACCCTTATTTGACCAGCTGCCCCCATATGTAACTGATTGTCTAACTCTGCCATCACGTCCTTCTCGAGCAGATGCTCTTCCTACCCCACTGGGCTCTGACAGACCCCTCTGAGAATATCTTGCACACACTCTGAAGTCTAGCTCCAGTTTAATAGTCTCTATTCTAAATATTGAGATCTATTGGGAAGAGTTTGGGATACAAAGGTTAGGTTTAGATATAATTTTACAGAATTGCATAAGTAATTGTTCTCTTGTAGCCTATTTTATTAAAACAAATCAGAAAGAGCAAGAGAGAATAAGAAGCACCGTGACTTTAAAAATTATTAATTCCTTATTTTGCACTTAATTTATTGTAAAATATAATACAAACTAGTGTATACAATGCATATGTACATTTTGAAAATTAATAATATTGAAAAGAGATCACCCTGGTACCCACAGCTCAGTTTAAGAAATACAGCGTTACCAGTACTTTTGAAACCCCCTTGTGTGCCACCCTCTGATTGCATTCCTCTCCCGCTTTCTGAGCGATAACAACTCTCCAGAATTTTGTATGAATTAGTTTTGTTTTTTTTTTTTACATTTTACCAGGCTTATTTTGTTATGCACATATACATAGGCACTACATACAGTATGTTAAAGAACATGTTAAGAAATATCAGGAGGACACGGGGGCGGGGGAAGGGTAAGCTGGGACGAAGCGAGAGAGTGGCATGGACGTATATACACTACCAAACGTAAAATAGACAGCCAGTGGGAAGCAGCCACACAGCACAGGGAGATCAGCTCGGTGCTCTGCGACCACCCAGCGGGGCGGGACAGGGAGGGTGGGAGAGAGACGCAAGAGAGAGGAGACATGGGGACACATGCACATGCACAGCTGACCCACCTTGCCATACAGCAGAAGCCAACACACCATTGCAAAGCAACCACACCCCAACAAAGATGTTTAAAAAAAAAAAAAAGAAATACCAGGAAGTTTATGTATCTTTTTCATTTACCCTGTGTTTTATGGCCTTGTTTATCACCTCCTTGTACCAGCTCACCAAACTTCCCTGGAGGAGCAGCAGACCAAATTCCTTAGCACCCAGTGGCTCTGAGCAAATATAGAACATAGTAGCAAGATGCAAAAGTAATGAGACAGACCAAAGGCACATATCAGGGGGACAATTTGTGAGTGGGGAAAGGGTTTTTCCGTTTGTTTGTTTTGCTTTTTACGGGATAGGGAAACACCAACTTTGGACAGTGGGAGAGAAAAAAGCTGCAGTTGGTCTTTTTAACACACACAGAACAAGTTAATATTGTGCTAAAAATATGTTTATGTATTAGGTTGGTTGAATAATGTGAAGGGTGGGCACCCAGAGGGAAGACATGGAACCTCATGTGCTCAGATATCCTCTCTCGTTTGAAAAGTTGTCTGGAGAGCAGTGCAAAGCCTCTTCTTCCTCTCGGGCCTGGCGAGTCTGCTGCCATGCTGCCCTCAGCAGCGCCGTGGGGCGGTGACGAATTGCCCCCGTAAATCACCGAGCACCACTGTGCTACTCCGTTTATTTTTCTGACAGTAATTTAGTGCTCGCTCTTTCCCACGCTTGTCATTCCATGTTTTTCCTCACATTAGAAGCCTTACTGCTTGAGAGAGGTCAATACAATTTTCCGTTTGTATAAATGAAAGGCCACAGTTTTTAACTCTTTTATAATAATATTCCTTGAGCCAGAAGAAGATACATTTTCCACATTTTAGTTACACTTCAACAATTATGTATTATATGCCTATAGGGCTCATGTTCAATGGCAAAGTGATGGACTGATGGTCTCAGATGTTTCCTTGTAAGATAGGGTGTCAAGAACTGGCTTATGTATTATCCGTCCTCCAGACTGACATCACACTTCATAATAGCTTGGTATGATGATTGCTGTCAAAATTGCACTGAGCCTGGCCGCGCCGCTCAGGGACCTCGTCGGGAAGGACGCGCGGGCTCGTGCAGGGAGAGCGGAGCCCCAGCGGGTGGCACCCATGCCACCTGTATGAATTATTTCATAATTGCTTTTTTATTAATCTTCCTTTTATAGATTGCTGTTGTGGCTGTCATGTGCAAACCCCACAGATGTCCACACATCAGTTTTACAGGAAACATATGTGTGTGAGTATGATTGTGATAAGTTGTGTATGTGTGTGTATTTTAATTGAACCAGTAAGTCCCCTAGAGCCTTGATCAATACATGCTGGTAATATTTAAAACTTTTTTTTGTTTGTATTTGTTTTTTGGCCACGGCTTTTGGGACCCCAGTTTCCCGACCAGGGATTGAGCCCGGGCCACAGCAGTGAAAGCCCGGCATCACTAACCACTAGGCCACCAGGGAACTCCCTGGTAATATTTAAAACTTTGACTTAATAGATTCATAAGTTAGTTCTTTGAAACAAGCACCTACTAGTAGGATGTCTCAATGCTTTAAAAATGAAGCATATAAAGATTTTAATTTGTTGCAATACACAGTAAAAAAAATTCATAGGTTACAGAACTCAAAACAGTAGATATTCTGTTAACTTGATAAACGATACATGGAAATATGAGCTGCCTAAATTCCAAATGTCAGAAGTTTATAATGAATTTGGATCAGAAAAGTATCAAAGTAAAAACTTATCTTTACTAATAATCTTTAAACTTACTAAATTTAGATAATTAGAAAAATTAGCAGAAGAATATTCATGACTCTAGACAGGAAGGTTATTAATCAGGAGAAAGATTTTCTTAAGTGTAGTTACCAAGAGAGCACTGTGAGTATCAATCCAAACTTAGGAAAACTTAGGCCTGGTTATTTGCCCCTAAAAGCTTAAACTTCTAAAATAATAGTGACTGCAATACTCTGAAAATGACTGTAATAATGTTCCTTTATATGTTTATCTTTTTACTTGTTAGTAGAAAATGTATATATTTGCAGATACTACAAAGGTACAATCTTCTGTTAGGATTCGAAAATGAAGCTGGTTCAGTCAGGATTTTACGGAGCCTGTAGATACTTGAACTAGACTGTTGAACTAAGTTCTGTATCTGACATCTTCATTTTATTGTATTGGCAGATACTGCCCTGGTGGACCTGATTCAGACTTTGAATATTCGACCCAGTCTTATACTGGATATGAGGTAAAGTAATGTGAGGCTGTCCTGAGGAGTGTTACAGCATACTTTATTAAGAGTATGCTTTTATAAGTACCAGCATTCTTAAAATTTTTATTTTTTTCCTGATTACATAAGTTATTCATCCACCAAACATTTGCTGAGTGTCTGTTGTTCAGTCACTGGCGAAATATTTATGTAAGCACTTATTATTAATATGTCAACATTGTTCTAAGTGCTTTACAACTTTAAACCTGACAGCAGGATTTTGAAGGTAGACACTATTATTATCCCAGTTTTTTAGATAAGGAAACCAGGGCCTAGAAGTCTTACATGACTGGCCTGGAGACACGCCCCTAATATGTAACAGGGCCAAGGGCTTTGAATTCTGTGCTCCTCACCAGTACATTGTCCTGCCTCTGCAGCTGTGAAAGAAACAGATCAGGTCTTGAGAAATTTACTTTCTAATAAATGGGGGTAGACAGTAAAGAAACAAACAAGAAAAAACAATCAGGTACTAGTAAATGCAAAGCAGGGAAGTAAAGTCAAGTAAGATGTCATAGCAGGGTGGATACTTCAGCCTTGGGGGCTAGGAAGGAATGGTCTGAGGAGGTGACATTTAAACTGAGCCCTGAATGACAAGAAAGAGCCTTTCAAGAATACCAAGAAAGAGCATTCCTAGCAGAGAGAATAGCTGGAACACGGAGCCAGGCTCAGAATGACAGTGGGGGGATCTGGAGCGGAGCAGGTAAGGGGAGAATGAGATTCGGGAGACGGGTGATGCAGGGGATTGTAAGCCAGGGCAAGGAGTTTGTTATAGGTGTCATGAAAAGCCATCCAGATTTAAAGCAGGGGGATGATATAATCCAGTTCCGGTTTTTAAAAGATCATTTGATGGTTCTGTGAGGGCAGGATTAGAGCAGGTGCAAGAGTGAAAGCAGGAGGCCAGCGAGCAGGCTTTCGAAGCCGTCGGCCTCATCCAAAGAGGCCAGCAGCCAGGAAACCATGTGACTTTTTTCTTATACATGTTTTTTCATTTCTTACCTGTTTTTCATAGTTCAAATTTTTAAAAATACTAAAAGAATTTTTCAGTGAAGACTCCCTCTCATCACTGTCCCCTGGCCACCCCTTTCTGCTTCAGCCCCCGAAGACAATCAGTATCATCCCCTTCCTATACGTCCTTCAGAGATAGTATATAGATATAAAAGCAATACATACTCTTTATCCTAACTTTTTACACAGGAGGTAGTCTATCAAAACCTTGCACCTTACCTTTCTCATTTAACAATGTATCTTAGGGAACGTTTTATATCAGTATATTGTTTCATGGCCGTAGACTATTCCATTGTATGATAGCATGATGGCTTTTTGTTAAGCCATTGCAAACTGTTGTTGTATTGATATTTAATGATCTGGTTTAAAGGTTATTTTATCAAGTAACTCTTTTGAATGTGTATACACAGCTGTGTCTGTGAGCAGTATAACAATTTGGTGACCCTGGGGATTCCATAAGGGTTTACACAAAGATATAACTATGGTCCAAGGAGCTGCCTGCTGTTGAGTGGAGACCAGCCAAATGCTATTCAGGACATTATTTTGAACCCTGACAAGACTGAGAGAGGAAGAAAGGAGCCCAAGGGAACTTTATTTTTAATACACTTTTGAAACTACGTTTTATTCTTAATTCAACATGGGCATAACAGGATACTTTTCTTTTTTCTTAGCCAACCTCCATGCGAGCTATCCGTGCTAGGTATGACCCTTATCTACAGACAAGACACCGAATAGAACAGGTAAGGTTTTAAAAAGCATTGTTACATTAGATCTTTATACTTAGAAGGTATTATTGCTTGATTTGAGTTGAACCAGAAATAAGAACTGAAAGAATATTTCTCCCCTTTGTAAGTTTTTAATATCCATCTGAGGGAGGGGGACTATTATGCAATACCTAGCAAGGTCAAAAACACTACTTGCTTTAAAGACCGTATTATTTTCTGTAAGGATTTTATAGTCTCTAAAGTTCTTTCAATTTGTAGAAAGTTATTTATGGTATGAAATTTACAGAATATGGATATGTCTTAGACAATAGGTGGGTGGATTGAATTTTAGCTTCCATAAGCCAAGTGAGAAGTATTGTGACTAGTTTGCTGGGGTGTGAATGGGGAATTGACTGTACAGGGGGATGAGGGACTCTTGGGAGCCATGGAGTTGTTCTGTATACTGGTGGTGGTGGTGGCAGTGGTTACACAACTCTAAACATTTGTCAAAACTCATTTAATTGTACCGTTAAAGTTAGTGGATTTTATTGTATATAAATTATACCCCGGGAGTTCCCTGGTGGCCTAGTCGTTAGGATTCCGGGCTTTCACTGCCATGGCCCGGGTTCAGTCCCTAGGCCACGATCCCTAGATCCTGCAAACTGCATGGCAAAGCCACCAAAAAAAAAAAAATTATACCTCAATATAACTGATTAAAAACAAGTACTGTGTAGATGGCCTTGCTCTGTTCAAGAACTCTGAACATTAATACAGATTTTCTTTTTCACAATTTTATTTTAAACTTGTCCAATTTCAAACAATGCAAGAACTGTCCATAGTTTTTATAGTTACATCTAGTAAGACAACTAGAAAATCTCAAATGGAAAGTAGCACATACCATAGTCAGTAAGTCGCTTCTGTGCTTAACTGTTATTACAAGTGGATACCAGCCACTTCTAATTTTCACATCATTGTCACTCAAGCATATATGGATCAGGATTGTCAGCTGTAGGAGAGGACCCCACCTGCAGGGAGCCAACATAGTTCCTAAACTGACCATTGCTTCAATTGCTTCAATTTCTTTTTTAGCCATAATTTTTTTTTTTTTGGAACCCATGCCCCTTGCAGTGGAAGCACAGAGCCCTAACCACTGGCTGGACCACCAGGGAATTCCCTTAGCCATGATATTTAACTCATTTGCAGTGTTTCAGTAGAGTTCGAAATGTTTATATTTTCCAAACAGGAGCATGGGTTTTGAAAGATTTTAGAAACTACCAGAGAGTAGTGATTCTTTTCCTAACTGTAAATGCACTAGAATCACCTGAGTAACTTTTCCAAAACACATGCCAGATTTCACCGCTGAAGTTCTGATTAAGTCTGGTTTAGGGTCCAGGCAAGATATTTTGAAAAAGCTACCAGGAAGATTTTGTTGTGTGTTCCTGGTAAACAACCATAGTTATAAAGTATTCTTTTAGTGTTGATAGCTATGTACACGTACTTACAGATATATATTTGCATGTGTATGCACATGCATGCCCATATGCTTATGTATCTGTAAGGATTTACATATGTATAAGGATGTATGTATGTATAAGTTATTTGCCATTTTCAGAAACAAGTATAAAACAAAGTAACTTTTTGCTCATATTAAGTGTGGACATCCTCTTTACGTAGTACATTAGAGTTCATAATTTGTAGTCTACTTGACCTAGTTTTTCTCAGGCCTAAGATATGGCAAGAAATTTAAATACCTGTTTCTAAAAATTAGAATCTTGCCTTATTGTAGTTGAAAAACTGAAAGATCTATACCATTCTCTTCCCAAATAGAAGAGATGTCATATTTCAGACTTTATTGTCCTTCCGCCACCCCTGAAACTAGGCTTAAGGTGCTACCTGTACCCAGAAACTTCATAATTAATTCAAAACTTTTCATTTAAAACTGCTTTCTTAACGTTTCTTTCTAATCTAGTGTTCTCTTTCTTTCACTTGCATCAAGTCCTGATTATGTTGCATATAGCCTTCTTCGTCCCCAGTGCTGACCACAAAGTCTGGCATAAAATATGTAATCAATAAATATTTGTTTATTCTATTACATATTGTGTTATTTGCTTTGCTGCTCTCTAATTTATATTCTTTGTATTATTAAATTTTCACTTAACTCTGTAAGTTGACATCAGACTTCTTGTTTATTATTTTTAATTCTCGTCCTCCTTATTTGAGCAATAATTTCCTTTTCAGGCCCTGGAGTCTATTTTTTTTAGTCCATAGAATTTGCTTAACATGTTTGCTTCTCATTTTTAAACTATACTGATGAGAACACCGCAAAGTAAAATTAGAGATTTGCAATAACACTCTTAGGGTAGTTGACTGTATCTTTCTAACGCTGATGAATTTATGTCTTTCAGTTAAAACAACTTGGTCACAGTGTGGATAAAGTGGAATTTATTGTGATGGGTGGAACATTTATGGCCCTTCCAGAAGAATACAGAGATTATTTTATTCGAAATTTACACGATGCCTTATCAGGACATACCTCCAACAATATTTACGAGGCAGTCAAGTAAGAAATCCTTATTTTATCATATTCACCAACGCTGGTTGTCAGTTTATCCTCCTAGCAGCAGTCTGTGAGAATTCCTTTTGCTCTATGTCTATATTCCTAGTTCTTTCGGGGAGGGAGGGGAGAGGATGTCATTCTTTTTATTTGCATACCTTTCATGGGTTGTAAGGTTAAATACATTTTTTCCCAATTTTCTTGAGATACAATGAACATAGAGCACTGTATAAGTTAGGGTGTGCAGCATAATGACTTGATGTCACACATATCATGAAATGATGTGCACAGTAAGCTGAGTTAACATCTGTCATCTCATACAGTCCTAGTCCTTGTACTTGCTTCTGTTTTGTGGGAAAAAGGATTATGTTTTTAAAAAGTGAGTATGGTCCATTGGTTATTAGTATTTTCACAAAATCACTATGTGAAAGAATAAAAAGAAACTAAAAAAAAAAGAAAAAGAAAGAACAACAGCAACAAAAAACCAAAACCAAGGGATTTCCCTGGTGGTGCAGTGGTTAAGAATCCACCTGCCAATGCAGGGGACACGGGTTCGAGCCCTGGTCCAGGAAGATCCCACATGCCATGGAGCAACCTAGCCCGTGTGCCACAACTACTGAGCCTGCACTCTAGAGCCCATGAGCCACAACTACTGAGCCCGTGTGCCACAACTACTGAAGCCCACGCGCCTATAGCCCGTGCTCCACAACAAGAGAAGCCACCGCAGTGAGAAGCCCCCACGCCGCAACAAAGAGTAGCCCCTGCTCGCCGTAACTAGAGAAAGCCCACGTGCAGGAACAAAGACCCAATGCAGCCAAAAATAAATAAATAAGTAAATAAATTTACTTTAAAAAAAACCCAAAAAAACCACTGTGCAGATCTTCTCAGCCTTAGGCTGGTCTAAACTGCAGGGGTAGCTTTCATTGGACTAGGTGAGCCCACCCAAAAAGAGCACTGGGAGTACTTTTAATCTGAGACATTTAACTGCTATATAATCAACAAAACAAGTGACTTTTTTAAAAAAACATATTTATCGGGTATAATTGTTTAACAATGTTGTGTTAGTTTCTGCTGTATAACAAAGTGAATCAGCTATATGTATACACATATCCCCATATCCCCCCCCTCTTGCGTCTCCCTCCCACCCTCCTTATCCCACCCCTCTAGGTGGTCACAAAACACCAGGCTGATCTCCCTGCATGTAGCAGCTGCTTCCTACTAGCAATCTGTTTTACATTTGGTAGTGTATATATGTCAGTGTTACTCTCACTTTGTCCCAGCTTGCCAGCTTCCCCCTCCCTGGGTCCTCAAGTCCATTCTCTACGTCCGCGTCTTTATTCCTGTCCTGCCCCTAGGTTCATCAGAACCTTTTTTTTTTTTTATGATTCCATATATATGTGTTAGCATAAGGTATTTGTTTTTCTCTCTCTGACTTCACTCTGTATGACAGACTCTAGGCCCATCCAAACAAAACACTGCCATTTACCATTGCAACAAAAAGAATAAAATATCTAGGAATAAACCTTCCTAAGGAGACAAAACACCTGTGTGCAGAAAACTATAAGACACTGATGAAAGAAATTAAAGACGATACAAACAGATGGAGGGATATACCGTGTTCTTGGATTGGAAGAATCAACATTGTGAAAATGACTGTACTACCCAAAGCAATCTACAGATTCAGTGCAATCCCTGTCAAGCTACCAAAGGCATTTTTCACAGAACTAGAACAAAAAATTTTACAATTTGTATGGAAACACAAAAGACCCCGAATAGCCAAAGCAATCTTGAGAAAGAAAAACAGCTGGAGGAATCAGGCTACCTGACTTCAGGCTGTACTACAAAACTACAGTAATCAAGACAGTATGGTACTGGCACAAAAACAGAAATATAGATCAGTAGAACAGGATAGAAAGCCCAGAGGTAAACCCATGCACATATGGTCACCTTATCTTTGATAAAGGTGGCAAGAATATACAATGGAGAAAAGACAGCCTGTTCAGTAAGTGGTGCTGGGAAAACTGGACAGCTACATGTAAAAGAATGAAATTAGAACACTTCCTAACCATACACAAAAATAAACTCAAAATGGATTAAAGACCTAAATGTAAGGCCAGACACTATGAAACTCTTAGAGGAAAACATAGAGAGCATTTTGACATAAATCACAGCGGGATCCTTTTTGATCCACCTCCTAGAGAAATGGGAGTAAAAGCAAAAATAAACACATGGGACCTAATGAAACTTAAATGCTTTTGCACAGCAAAGGTAACCATAAACAAGATGAAAATACAACCCTCAGAATGGAAGAAAGTATTTGCAAATGAAGCAACTGACAAAGGATTCATCTCCAAAATATACAAGCAGCTCATGCAGCTCCATATCAAAAAAACAAGCAACCCAATCCAAAAATGGGCAGAAGACCTAAGTAGACGTTTCTCCAAAGAAGATATACAGATTGCCAACAAACACATGAAAGGATGCTCATCATCACTAATCATTAGAGAAATGCAAATCAAAACTACAATGAGGTATCACCTCACACTGGTTAGAATGGCCATCATCAAAAATATCTACAAACAATAAATGCTGGAGAGGGTGTGGAGAAAAGGGAACCCTCTTACACTGTTGGTGGGAATGTAAATTGATACAGCCACTGTGGAGAACAGTATGGAGATTCCTTAAAAAACTAGAAATAGAGGGCTTCCCTGGTGGTGCAGTGGTTGAGAGTCCGCCTTCTGATGCAGGGGACACGGGTTCGTGCCCGGGTCCGGGAGGATCTCACGTGCCGCGGAGCGGCTGGGCCCGTGAGCCATGGCCGCTGAGCCTGCGTGTCCAGAGCCTGTGCTCCGCAATGGGAGAGGCCACAACAGTGAGAGGCCCGCATACCACACACACACACACAAAACTAGAAATAGAACTACCATATGACCTAGCAGTCCCACTACTGGGCATATACCCTAAGAAAACCATAATTCAAAACGAGTCATGTACCACAATGTTCATTGTAGCTCTATTTACAATAGCCAGGACATGGAAACAACCTAAGTGTCCATCGACAGATGAATGGATAAAGACGATGTGGCACATATATACAATGGAATATTACTCAGCCATAGAAAAACAAGTGACTATTATTTAATAACTTGTTTTAATTACTGTTTAATATTAAATAATTTGTTTATGGATGGAATCATTTATTTCAAATTCTAGTTGACAGAAGACAATTATGCTTTCTTTTGATACCTCATATCTCCATTTTTAGTGAGAAGAATACTAAGGTTTCATATATAGTTCAATGATTTAAGAAATGAAAGTCTTAGAATAGTTTTTATTTTCAGAAATTTCAGGAACACCTGGCTGAGTTACTGTGTACTATTCTCTTTTATTTACTCAACATTAATTGAAGGCCCATTAGGGGCCATGCACTGCCTTGGACACTGGGAACAACATGGTGAACAAGACGGATGTTGTCCTTGCCCTCGTGGTGCTTACATTCTACTGGTTCAACAAATAACAAACAGTAAGTGTTGTGATGGATATAGACGGCTATGATGGAGAATACCTGGGCTGATTCTGCACACAAAGTGGTGACATTTAAGCTGAGATCTGAAGTATAAGGAGGGAGTCAGGCCAAGCGCAGAAAAAGGAAGAGGCACTGAAATGAGGAAGAACTTGAGGTGTTCCAGGAACAGAGAGGAGGCCAGGGTATCTAGATTCCAGTGAAAAGGGGGGCATATGTCATGAAGGGAGATTGAAAAGTTAGGTGTGGGCCTGATTATACATGCTTTTGAGGACTTAAAAACTTTCGAATCAGCAGTAGGAAGTAGATGAATGGTTTCAAGCAGGAGACTGATGTGTTCGGGTTTGTAAGAAGCTCATTCTGGTTATTGTGTGGCTGCAACATGAGAATGTTGGTGCAAGAGTGGACGTGGGAAACTGGGTGGAAGAGTGTTGTATCCACCCCAGCTCAGATGAGGGTGGTGGCAGTAATGACAGAAAAGAATAGATGGATTAGCTGTATTTTTGTGTGGAAACTGACAGATTTTGGATGAGGTCCACAGTAAGAAAGAGGAACGAATCAAGGATGACACCCAGGTTTTGGTTGTAGGAAATGATCGAGAGTTGTGTCACATACTGAGATGGAAAAGACAGAAGGAAGAACAGGTTTGTGGGAGAAAATCGAGAGTTTTACTTTGGCTGCATTAAGTTTGAAATGCCTAGAATACATTCAGGTGGGGATGTCCATAGGCTATATAAGAGATGTCTGGGCTGGTGATATAAAATTGGGGATTATCAGCTCATAGATGGTATTTATAGCCATGCAAATGGATAAGGTCACCTTATGGGAGAGTTTCAGATTTCCAAGGTATGCTACATGAAAACGCAATTTTTAGGGCCATTCTTGCAGTGTGAGCCCATCATTTTTGTATACGTGCCTGTGAGTATAAATGCATAGAAGAGGTGGTAGAATGGTGATCATCATAGGCAATAGTTAGCACTGAGGAGAAAGGGACATGAGACGTGGGGGTAAAGGAGGACGTATACAGCGTACAGTGTGCTGAGCATTGTGATAAGTATTCACTTATTCAGTTCTTATAAGAAGTCTTTAAGTATTTAACTTATCCCTGTTTTACAAGCGAGGAAACTTTCATTACCCTGTAATTAAAACAGTTTTTGGACAAGCACACTTGTGAATGAATTTTGAATGATCCATCTGTTGGTCAGATATTGACAGCTAACGACCTAGGTAGGGCTTCCTCTTGGAATTGGGGACAGGGCCGTCTTTTTGTGCTCTCCCTACTTCTCCTAGCCCCTTCTTTTGCTCTCCTTTGGGTTGGTATAAATGAAAAGAGTAGAGACTTTTTCATAAGTTTAAATAAATCTCAAGGGTACTTTGAGGGGCCTGGGTAGAGAGTTCAGCAGCTGGGAGAGCATGTGTGAGCCGCTACTTTGTGTGATCGCCAGTAGAGGATGTGACAGGTTAATTGAATGTGGACTTTGAG